GGTGGGTTCTTTCCCAAAGGACACATCCCTCAGTGTAATTATCACCTGTACCATGCAAAAGGTCAGGCTGGAGACTTGTGGTGCTTTCTTCTGGCCTGAAAACCCATGATGCTATGAAAACTCAAAATGAAGTAGAAAAAGCTCTTTCAAATGTTTTATAAGAATTGCAGAATATCTTCCATAATATTCATATGGTAGGGGGTTTGACACTGCAATGAATGGACTTTAAAATCATTTAACAGGCTACATTTTAGCTACATTAAAGTTGGGGGTTTTGCCTGTCTTTATTTCTATATTTTGATTAATAGTCATTAGAATTGCAGTATTTCTTTTATTTAAGCTACCAAGCCCCTTTCCCCTGATATGATTTTCTTTCTTTATTGGTTTATCAAATCCTTTAAGACTGATAATTCAATGTTGGGTGTTCACCTCAGGATAACTTTCTGGAAAGCATATTCTGTATTTGGCAGTGATCATAAAAAACATCAAAAGCAAAATTATTGAAGCTAATAAAAACAAATGCTAGTGCAAGTGGTAGTTCCAAAATGTGTAGACAGACTGGTGGGCTAATATGACGATTTACAAGATTTCTTTCTCTTTTATGTTACAAACTCTCAGTAACTGTATTTTTTATTTATGTGTTGATAAACTATGTGCATTCTTTTGGACATTTAAAAGTGCTAATCACAAAATAACAAAGATAAAAGCAATGTAAGACATTTATCTTGGAACGTATAATCCCATTGTAAGATAAACTCTTTTTTTCCAGCATGCATATGTAGCTCTTATTACTGAAACTCAAGTTGCACATAATTATTGGTAACAGAAAAACACTGGCGTTTACCTCCCACACAAAGAGCCACACCTTACCCTCCAGGAAATCCAGAGAGCTTCCTAAGAATTATTTCTAGCTGTGGCCTAGATTTCAGTCTCTTTTGTATAATTTTACAGTGGAAGCTTGTGAGAGCCAATCCTGACTGGTGCACAGGGTTTGACTGAACAAAGAAATGAAACTCATAATGAGATTTGGTCTTACATTGGACTTTTTATCACAGGATTTCTTCTGCTTGGTCTGCACAGTTCAACAAGTTTGATGCTTTACCCAGACCAGACCGACACTGGAGACAATCTCTGTTCTCTGCAGTAAGAGACAGATGACAGAATTAAAAGCACATTTCAGTAAAAGTTACGTACAAATTGACAAGGAAGGATTAACTAAAATAATATTTCCTTTGTCTGTATTTCCAAATTGATCACTTTTTTTCTCCTGTTTGGAAAAATACTTTATTTCCTAAGCTTGCATGGAATTATTTATGAAAGAGAAGGCATGGCAGGAGAGAGTTAGACTCAGTGGTTCAAATCCTGGTTTTTTTTTTCATCAGGTGACTTTTAGATACATCTGGAAAGAAATGGCAGCATTCAATCTGATCCCAGGATTGTATCCATCAGCTGACAATGCATCTGGCCATGGCCTCTGTCCTTCAGCCTCACATGGAAATGTGCAGTACTGTAGTGCCAGTATGGGATTCAGGAGATCTGTCCTGTCCCCAGTCTCTTTCTTCACAAATACTTTGTGGTAATCTCTGATACATCCCTTTGAACCTTATTCTTCTACAAAATCACTGAGAGAGCCTTTTTGCCATATACAAATAAAGATGCAGAATATGTATTTCAGAAAGAACAAGGGCCCAGCAAATCTCCTAGGAAGTCCTCTGCTGGGAAGCAAAGTCACTGAAAAGGAATTTTATCAGATCACAATTGCTACTTCTCTTCCATGGTGATCAGAATATGGAAAGTAACTCTTGATTGCCCAAGGAAGTAAATATTGAGAAAGGATAAAGAGATTTATACTTCGCCTTTATCTGGTACCAATGCAAGGAAAGGTGGAATGTTGTTCAGGATCTGGGTCTTAAATTCAAAAGAGTGATGAAAAATTAGAAGGATTTCATAGAGTAGAGACGAGACATGATTAAAGGATACTCTCCTTGGAATGTGGGGTTCAAGAAGTTCCACCTAGTTAGTTTATCAAAGAGAAAGTTAATGGGGGCCCTTTATGTACCATTCTATGGTGTAAATATTAATTTAAAAATCTATGCCTTAGCTCAGGCAGACAAAGATCCAAGACCTGCAATCTTAATTTATAGTTACCCATAATTAACCATTGAGAGGGTTACCAAGAATTATAGTAAATTTCCTGTTGATATTTATATCAAGATATATGTCCCCCCCTTAAGATGATACAATCTAGTTGGGACAGGACGAGTTCAGGAAAATCTGCTCTCCATTATGCCAGAAGTCAGACTAGAAGATCACACAGGTCATATCAGGTTTTCTAATCTGTTAATTAGATCGTTTATATAAATTCAGTTTAGTTGGGTCTGTGTTTTTAATAAGCAGTGTCTTTAATGGTTCATGTTTGATTGCAGCCTCACGTAATCTCAGTTGGTTCTTACTGTTTGTGTGTGGTGGGACTCTGTCATTCTAGCAGCACCTCCACCTTCATCCTCAAGTGTTGCATCATTAGCTTGTTACACAGCCTGCAGGCTTGATACTGCTGATATGACACCAACCTCAAAATCTTTTAGAGATGGAGTGATGGCATTGCTGGAGATCCCAACAAAACTGCTCCAGATCCTGCACACAAGTTATTTATCAAGACCAAATTCTGTTGTACATTTTTTAAATCTTAAGTGGAATATACTGCTCTGATGATTGGAGTCTCTTTACAGGTCTTTGATGAGGATTTTTAGCATGTCATTCTAGATTTTTTTTTTTAATAAATGAACGTATAATTTTTCAAGTTTTTATCCAGGCTGAAGCTAATATTTAATAAAAAGTTCTGTTCTCACTTGTTCTTTCAGCCATATTTTGCTCGGTAGTCCTGGGAAGAGCCTGCTTCCCTGACAAGGATTAACCACACCTGTTGGACATGCTGTTGTTTCTCTGGGCACCCCTTCAGCTTTGCACAGAGAGCAGCACATCTTTAGCACTTTCTCATCAGGAAGCAGTCCATCCTTTAGGGGACACTAAAATTTCCTTTCCTTTGGGCTCAGGATCTTTCATTCCATCAAGTGTGTTGGCAGAAATTAAAAGGGATACCTCTGCTGTTTCAGGTGAGATGTCAGTGCAATGCCCTCACCCACTGGCTGAGTTTCTAGGTATTATTCTGCTTTGGGAAGAAGCAGGCACTCCACATCTCTGCAGTTCAAAACTCTTTGAAAAGTGCTGTGCCCTTCCTGTTTACATTCATAAATTGTTTCCATTTTTCTCATTTCAAAAAGCAAGCTGCAGAAGAATACCCTCTTCACTCTTTTTGTTGTGCCATGGTTTGATGCCAGTTAAGCTCCTGCTAACTTCCTGAACCCTCTGACCTTTAAGTACTTCTTGCTTTTCCAAGAACTTTTAACAGCCACTGCCTAAAATGTCAGTGCTATTGGATGTTCCAGTGTAGTCTCAAAGCAGGCTTCCACCTGCTGTGATTTGGAAAAGACATTGCATATGTCCATTACATATCCACAGGAGAACACTGTGTGCGGAAACCAAGCTATGTACTGAGGGTGAAAAGCATTTCACCAGGTTTTGAGAAAACCCTTGTAACTAAGCCTAGGTAAAGGCTCAGCATGAAGCTGGGATAATCTTGTGACTAATAACAGGTCAAACTCAGAAAAATTGTTCAGCAGCAGAACTGCTGTAGCGTACTGGAAGAGCACCCACAGAAGGAAGGAAAGGAAACGTTTGAGTCTGTTAATATAAAATACTCTTTATCACTCCACACATCTTATCTGTACCACTCCTGCATATCCTAGATCAAATGAAGAGCCATCATACTTCAGGGAGCTAAGCACTTTTGAATGCTGTATTTCACAATACCAGAGCTCTACAGGTGTACATTTCTTTTTATATATAGTGTGTTCATACATCCATGTACAAGACTTACTGGAACCCTTTTCTGTATTAAGCTATCTGGGACAGGGTGCTATATAGAAGTACTCCTTCTGGGAGTATCCAAATCAGGAAATTCAAAGCACCAACAGATACAAACCTGTATCAGCAGTGAAATAAATAGCAGGGGTGGTTTTCTTTAAGAACAAAAGCATGTATTGTAATTGAGAATATTGGCTAACTGTCTATGTGTGAAATACTTTAAAGGCTTGTGCCTTTGAATGTATTAGGTCCAATTTCCAAGGCTGTTGAGAATTTGCCAACTGCGTAATTTTCATCTGTAATTATGAAAGATTACTGTCAGAAAAGCTGACTTTCATTTTTGAAGGCAATTCCTGAGAAGATACTGAAAAAACCAGACTCACCCTCAGTGATGAACCTTTCACAGATTCTTCTGACAAAGTAATGCTGGTAAGATAATAGCTTTGCTAGAGAGCTTTTGAAAACTGGTCTCTCAAGCTTAGAAAATCTGTGTGAAGAAAGTAATAGTTATCATTCAAACCTGACGCCAGACTCTAATTAATACTTCAAACACAACACAACAACGCGATTTTTTTTTAATCTCCTTGGTACACTGCAGTAGCCACACCTACATCCTTTTAGAGGAAACATATTTTTCTTCTCCTGGCTACTTTGCACAAATATGTATTAATTTGTTCAGAGCTCATAAATTTGTTAGGAGTTTGGCTCTTCTAATTTTTACTCTGTTCATCTTATTACTTTATGCAGTACTACATTTAAATTAAACTGGACTTCAAATGCTGTGGGCCCTTGCAACTTCCCCTGCTTAGGAAAGACACCTTGTTTATGGTAGAAGTGGTAAGGACCACAAAGCTGCTCAGTGTCACTTTGCCTTTACCACACTGCTCTAACTAAGCCAATCAGACCAGCTGCGCTCAGCAGTGTTATGTTCAGGAGTGTCACTCGATCCCACAAAGCCCTGGCCTCATATTCCCAGAGGAGACAGGGACCATGAAATACAGATGAGTTTCTTATCTGAAATACAGTGTTTCACCTTTCCTGTACTATCTGTCTCACTGACAGTCATTTCAGATGGACTACCAAGCTAAACCCACAGACTCAAATGTCATTATTCTATGATTCTCAAAGCAGCCAAAACATATGCTCTGCTCCTCCTTTCTTAGGCTGATTATATATGTGCTGGTAGTGAACAATAAGGGCACTGAAACCCAGAGGAATTTAGCATTAAACAAATATTACATTTTATTATAAAAAAAATATTGAAATCCCAAGTTCTCTGTTCCTGCAGGATCCTGAGCAGTGCTTGCTCTTTCAAAAAACCCCAGCTGTATATTTTGACATACAATATGGGTCTGACTTGTAAAGAGCACAGGTTTTGAAATGTTCTTATAGTTTTCCAGGAGAGGCTTCAGATTCCTTAAGAAATTTAATGTATGGAAAACATGAATGAACTTGTATTTTGTAGTCATGTTTTTGGCCTTAAAAAAGGTTGTCCACAGAACTCTTTACACTCAGAAACACAAAATCACTGCTGTATAGAACACAGACAAGCAAATGTGCTAAACTCACCTCTTTTAGAGGGGCTTTTCTGAAAGTGCTTGCCATTGCTTTCCTGATATGGCTGCAGTGGTCTCGGGGTGCAGACACCATACAAAACATGAAATATAATTAGAAATTGATGGAGGGGCCTTAGTTAGGGTACACACTCCCATGGAACATTTTCCTACTGTTCTCTGGAATCTGGTTTATTTGAAAGAGTCTATATTGTCAGACTTACTTCGGTGACCAGTAAATAATGAAGGACAGAGGGGAACTTTTTCTCACAGAGCTAAAATATGACTATGAGGAGCAAATAAACTCATCAAGAGTGTAGCAACCTTCCCAGGTTGTACATTATACATATTTTCATCCAGCAACTTGATACCATGTCATATTATGCATTCCCAGGAATGGAAGAAGCACTAGGAGTCATCCAAAGGAAGGACAGGAAAACTAATTCTGTTGTTAGCACATCTCTTCTTTGAATTTTTACTTGCTGTATGGTGTGAGTACCAAAACAAGACCTGCAGAGTTGCCCAGGAAAGAGTCCCCTCATCCTGGCTTTCCCTCATTCCCAGCATTTAGCAGGCCATGTTCACTTAAATATGTTCTTAGTCTTCAGGGGAGATCTTAAATCTTCCTAGAGAAGAAACTATTCTTTATATGCACACCACTCGTCTTCCTCAGTTCAAACAACACAAATCAGGACTGAGGAGATACAGCTTTCATTCTGCCAGGGACAGGCTTTGAAAGAATATCTTAAGCTACTGAGACATAAAAAATGTACCAATAAAGGTGGGGATGTCACTTCATCCTGATTTGGGCACTGAAAGTACAGCCATGAGCAAAGAGAGAGAGGAGCTTCACCTGTGCCCAGCTCATGGGCCTCAGGGAGGTTCTTCTGTCAAGGAATGAACTCTCTGAGGTCTGTCCTAACAACACCACCTGCCAGTGCCAGGGACAAGGTCACAGCCAGGCCAAGGTCATGCAACTCCTGCTGGGGACATTTTCATGGTGTCAGGACTACCCCACCACCCTCAAACTCAGCTTGTGTCAGAGACTATGGAAGGTTCAGGTTTTACCCTTCAGGTTGTATGGGTGATTCCCATGTCTTTGAAGTTCTGTTCCCACTGAAGATGAAGGCAAATTGCTGCTGATATTAATGGGGCTAGGATGTGTCCTTGTCTCTGTTTCTTGCTGTTGTTTCCTTTGTTGCAGTAGACCTATTCCTTTATTAAAGCTTTTGCCTGGGGGAAAAAGCAAAGCCACGTTGCTAAATAAATTATGAAATATTTACATTTGTGAAGCCAACCCCTTATGCCTAGCTCCTCCTCTGATATTAAGCTGACACTTTTTATAGAGCTTCAGCTTCTATGCTGCCATTATTCCTCTGTGGGATCCGAGACCAGGAGGTGACAAAACAGCCACCATGAGCCAAGTGACAGTAAGTAATACCCAGGAATGATTGCTGACTTTGACTCAGTGCAGTAAGAAACTACTATAGTAGACCAGTGGTGGTTTGTTTAGTGCAGGAGAGCAAAGTAGGATCAGAGATGAAACTGAAAAAACCATAAAGCTGGGGAGGTTTCTAAACAAAGCTTGATTTTTAACCTGACAATAAAAGGTCATATATTGTACAAAATACCTATAATAATACTGATCCCAGGAGCAAAGTCTTAAAGGCATTATTTTGCTACTCCCTATGTATATTCTTTTTACTTGCTTTTGTATTTGTATTTACCTCTTTTTGCCTGTGGTACTCTCAATGCTGCAAGAATGAATGCAGCTCACGTTAGTGTCACCAGCTGTAATGAAATGATCTGCAGTTACTCTTGTGAACATTTTGCATCTCTTGTTTTTATTGTATTTGTACATTGCCTTTATACCTTAATAGTAGCTTCCTTCTTTTAAAAAATGGTTTAGCATGTTGTTCAAATATGTATGGTTCAAACAGGTTAGCCTAGCTTACAAATTTCTCCCTCCTACTTTTACCTGTTTAATGCATTTGACTTTACCTTACCCCACCTCTTGCAGGTTTGGAAACAGAGAGGTAATGACTTTCTCGGGTGTTGGTTTGCACTGTGGTTTTTTACCACTTGGCTAAGTCGCTTCAGTTTATGCCTTTTGCTTTTATCTCTGTGATGTAGCCTGTGGAGAGTGAATCTGTAAAATGCTTAAGTGTTAGGTAACTACCATAGCAAATGAAACATCCTGTTAACTGGATTTTTGCACAGCTAACTCCAAAAGTTTCTCTATCCCAACACACAAGGTCTCTGACTGCCTTGGTGTTGACCATTATAATGTTCCTTCTGCTCTTCCCTTGCTTCCCCTTTCTTGCTTGCCTCCAGTTGTTTTGTTCTCTCTTCTTCCTTTGTCCTGCAAACAATTTTTGCTGCCATTTCTCTGTCTATTCTCATCTTTTGGCAGGTTGGTGAGCAGCTGGGAATATAACTGCACAAATTGTCCCTATCTGCTGGGAAGTGTTTCTTTCTTTGCAAAATGTTCTGCGCAAAATTTTCAGTTCCTTTATTCTCACCTTGACCTTCCTGAAAAAAATATTTGGAGTAGTTAGAAAGCAAGAGATTAAAATATGAGATTTTCCTTACACAGCGCCTAGGAATAACAAGGTCAGCATGTGAAATGGAGCAGCTTTCAGAGCAGGGAAGAGTTTCTGAAATTGTGCTGAAGTGGAGGACAGCGGTGCTTACCATGTTCCTACTAGTTAAAAAATACATTTTTAAACTGCGTTACAGCAAGAGAAATATTGATATTTGGCTGACAGAACATTAACCCAAAAAAGAACCCTGGAAAATGGCAGACACAAAAGTGCCCTGGAGCTAAATACTCTCACTCTTTAGAAAGTCAGCAAGCAACAAGAAGAAAACACTCAGTGACACAGCTTTTAGTGCTTTTGGCACGTTTTGGAATGCAATGGAGAAACCATGCAGTGCTATAATGTGCTAAATTTGTGGACATTAATACATGTGAAGACAGATTTTTTCATTACTGTATTATGATGCACAACTCTCTGGCTAATTTGCATGCAACATTTCTATGATTAATAAATGAGGCAATGCTGGAAACTACTGTACTACAATGAACCACTTGTAGCAATTGCCAGCACTCCAGCATGCAACATTAAATACTATGCTCTGCTTCTGTAAGCTTTGAATATTTGAACATCAGTTTGCAGTTCCCAGGCTGCAAAGTGATCAAAGGAGGGGAAGAATGTTCCTTACTTTATCCCTCTTACAGAGAACCAGAATAGTCAGCAGATACCTTGTGTAGAAATGTCAAGCAAACACAAATGGAAAAAAATAAAATCAAAAGGACTTAGTAAAATAACTTGAGTAAAAGTGTAACACAGCTCTTTATAAAAAGCAAGATATATTTTTCAAGTCCTAATGTTTTGTAGTTAACAGTTTTAGTAAAATGAATATATATCATATATGCATAGAATAGCATAACCTCAATACTGGGATAAATAATTTAAAGACCATGAAGATAAGCATACAATGAGTCTGCATTAAAAATCTTTTGTGGTCTGAATCCAAGATCTGAAAGTACTACAACTGATTTCTTGGTTCAAACACCACTTCTTTTACAGCATTCATGTCAAATTTGTGTGGATTATGTGAAAATTTAGAAGTTTAGATCTATAATCTGGTATCTTCAGTCTAAATAAAAAAGTGTCAGGTATGTGACACATATGGCTAGCAACTCAGGGTGTCAGGATATCTATAATACATTGATATTGCTATCCTAGCTTGGAATTTCAGATCAGACTCTGCCTTTTACTATGAAGAATTTTTTTCCCTGCTACAAAGGGTTTTTTCTGACACTAACAGAAATTTTTCTCAGCCTGACACAAATTTCTTCATCTCCATTCTCATTTTTTAATTCCTGTCTTTTTAAGAAACCTCTTGTGAAATTAAAGAGGTGCATCATATTCTTGCATCACTCCCTGAGCAGAGTTAGGCTTTGGCTTCCTGAGCTTTCAGATGACGCTGCCAGCACCACTCTGCCTCCTGAACATTTTACTGCAGGCATGGGCAGCTGACATCTTCTGAAGCAATGACTATATTAAGTACCCAGTGATGTATCCTTCCCAGAAACTGAAAATAAAGGTATAAAAGAAATCTGCACAATAATTTATGGGTGTTAACATATGGGTGTAAGTTTCCCTGTGGGTAATTATGTGGCTATGCTAATAATGCCAAGGATGCTTTGATACATTAAAAAAATTTCTCACAATGATGTTATTGAGCATTTCATTAGTCAGAAGTACGCCTGCAGACCCCTATGACAAGACAAAGCACCAGGCTGCATTAGCATGCCTTGAAGAAGGTTCTCAGCTCAGAGAAATTGCTCCCAAAGCTTCCTTTGACTTGCTGGCAGGCAGCTGGCATGGAGCCCCAGAGTCCTGGAGAAATTCTCCAATACATTGCTCATCACTCCCATCCTGAGAGCTCAGGGTATGTTCAGTTGCTGTGGAGACACCAGAAGCAATTCCACCACAAAGGCTGTCCTGTGAAGTGGGCTCAGGCTGCCATGCCTCTGCCTGTTTTCCAGTATTGTCATTGCTCAGCTGGAATCAAACTTCACACAGTTTAAATTTTTAAGCCTTCAAGTTTTTTTTCTATTTTTAGCTTTTCTTCAATGTCTAATCCTTTGACGTCTTGCATTAACTTTGTGTAAAACTGCACTGTTCAAACCACTGCCCTACTGATACACAATTACCAGCACTGGGGGAGGATCCTCAGGGATGCAGGGGTTTACAGAAGAGCCAGCCAGGTTTTCTGAGCAGTGTCAGGGAGGCAGAGTCCTGCCCTTGCTCTGGCTGTGGGGAGGGCAGGAATGCCCTGGTGGGGGGGTTGGATGTGGGGAAGCTGTGTCTGCATTTCCTGCACCCCGCCAGTGTGTGAGGCATGCTGGGACCGAGCCTCAGCTTGTGGAAATGATTGCAGGGCAATTTATAGCAAACAACCACCCCTACTGCTGTGTTTGTTACAAACCTGGCTGCAGTACAGTAATGTTTAGTGGATTAATAATGTTTGCTTTTGGCCTCTCCTACTCCCTCGGCAAACAATTTTCATGCATAATAAATGTTCTTATTTAGTCTAACTAGAACAGAGCCCAAGGGTCAGAATAGCCAAACCTGCATGCTGAGAAGACACTCCAGGTTTCCACACCAGGCAGCAGCTTTCTCCTCTCTCCAAGCCAGGGTCCAGTGTTTGGGCACTTCTGCAGAGTCAGTTTTGCTGAGCAGATCTCCCTGAAACTGCAGAGGGGCCATGCCATGTGTCCCCTTTTGCAGGAACCAGTCTGTCCAGTCAAAAGGGTTGCAGTGGGCAGCAGAGGCAGCACAGAATCACTGGGACAGGCAGATGTTTCTTGAGTGTTTGGCATCTTAAAATAGAACAGCATATTTTAAATTTAAAAACCTTATTAATATATATATATATAATAGGCAAAAAGTAAACATCTCACATAGGGCATGCTGTGAGGGTGAGTAAGTGGCTTATGGTCTTGCATTTTTGAAGAAATTCCTAAGACTTTTAGAGTTACAAACCCTTTAAAAATCTATACTGTTTATTTTGTTGACTATTAGTCTCTTCAGGGAAACAAAGAGTCTGGCCCTGTTTCATAACATGTAGCAGAAATACGCAGATATGCAAATACAAAAGTTACACAACGAAAGCAAAACTGAATTAAAGCTGTTTACAGTCAAAAAATGAGAACCAGATCTGCAGCCTTTTTATTGCTCCACCACTGAAATGAGTGTGTGCACAGCCAGGCTGCTGAGGTGCTCATAGGGCTGAATGGGGCAGCTGTTTCTCTGCATCTTCCCACTGCTCTTTTTGCCTCCTCAGTTATAGCTAAAATGGAGGCAACCAGTCTTAGGTATAATGAAAGACAAATGTTTAAGTAGTCCTGTAAAACTTTATGACAGCTATTAATTGACCAAGTAATTAAGAACAGCAATCAGCACTTATTTCAAGTGATGCACTGGTGACTGCTGGCCTGGGGAGCAGAAGGCTGGCAACACTGCTGTGACAACCAGTGGGACCGAGACTCTTGGCCATTGAACCCTGTGACCCACGTGCTGTGGCTGAGTATTTGAAAATACTACAAGAAATACAGGTTGTTACACAGATCCAGGAGCTCCCTGACACACATGGTGAGCTTGCCAGCACGGTCTCCAGCAGAGGATTCCTTGCCAGTCCTGTACACTGAAGTTGTGCTTACACAAAGCTGTGGGCAAGACACAAGAGCTCAGACAGGCAGGTTAGGTCAGTGTCTGCCATGAAAAGATAGGCAAGATAAATTAATTTTGTCTTGGCTTATCTGAGCAAAGCCCTACCATGCCACGGCACAGTGTTCTGTGTCACTGGCAATTTTCACTGCCACAAAAGGTGTTGCTTGACCACAGCTAGCAAAACAAGAAGTAAATATGTAAAACAGTTTGACAGGCATCAGAGAAAGAACATTATCAAACAAATTATCTATCTGTTATTGGGTCATATGCAGGTAAAATAAAATAAAAAAATTCTTGCAGGATATCTAAGCAACAAAACTATTTTCACTGAGCCATGAGACTCAAGCTACGAGCTACCTTTAATCCAGACTGGCTAATTAGGAAACCTATTCCTGTACAATTCCCTTCATTACACATCACACATAGATTATTTCTGTCTCTTCAAGAAATATGCACAAGTGTTTTCTGAAATTAATTAGTTTGACACTTTTTACACTTCGTTGTTTGGCTGATTGTTCAGGGTGAAAAGGGAAAGAAATCTTTGGCAACCTCTTGTGGTTGTGGGGCATTTCTTCATACCTACTTCTGTGGAGGATCAGTAGTGGGGACTACAAACTCAGCAAGACAGAAATATCAGTGGGACAGCCAAATCTTCAGACTGGAGTTTATATTAGCAATTCAGGAAAAGAAGAGACAGAAACATAGAAATATATTTAGGAACATATTAAACACAGATACACATCTGAAATCTGAACACAAGAGTGTATTGGGAGTTTGCAAATCAGCTTTGTCTTTATAGCAAGACTATGCAAACTTCAGCTCCTAAGCCTGAGAGCAGAGATATTGAAAATTACAGCCATCTTTGTTGTAATGTGAAAATGTAGGTTAAATAACATTTTTCTTCAAATATATTCTTCTCTTTATAATTTTTCCTAATTGTCTTCATTTTTCCTTTGGCAGCCATAAAACATTTTAACCAACCACAAATAACTATACAGATGGGAAAGGGAGAATGTAAACAGACTATTGTTACTCCTTGTTTTGCTTATTCGTATTTTGAACGTGTTTATTTGTTTATAAAATTGCAGTACATTAATAGAAGCACTAGAAATATTTCCAAGCTATTAGTTACAGACAATTTAAAGATGATTTAAAGTTCATTAATTTTCTAAAAATGAATCATGTAAAAATGAGGCCTTCCTGTCCTCAGATCTACTCATCTCCCGGTCTGGATCTAATTTTCTCAGCTCTTTTAGAGATTCAGCCCAAGCTGAGCAGAAATGCTGTGATTTATCTCAACAGTGCCAGAAATCCAGGGCAGTTCTGAAGCACTTGGGGGTGCTTATCCCTTGCTACCTGCCAGTGCTGACAGCCCAGTTCAAGAGAGAGGTTCCTGTTGTCCCTCCCGTCCCAGGTCCAGCCCCACTCCCAAGGTGTCCAGGGATGCTCGTCCAGGGTGTGCACAGAGATGTGCTTTGGTGCAGCCCCGTGCAGCAGTGTCCCTGCCATGCCATGCCATGGGGAATGGTGACAGGAGCCAGGGAGCAGAGCAGGGCCCAGCACACACCCCCTGAGGGCCCCACAGCACAGGAAAGCAGCTGCCCTTCACCTGCTCCTACAGCTAACAAGGGGATGGCCTAGCACATCTGGAAACTCACAGGGCTGCTTTTCAGAGTGAAAACACAGTTCAGAGAGAGAGAGACTTCCTACACTTCCCATGTAACAAGGGCTGTGCTGGTTGGGAGGAATGCTTGTTAGAGGTCTCTGGGAGCAGAAGTGCAGCTTTCATAGTGGATTATCAAATGCCTGAAGGCTTTATAGATCTGTTCGTTCTGGGTACAGATGAACCCACCACTTCTCCAAGCTTGCTCGGCAGCACGGTTCAAGTCCCCAATGCATGTCCACTGATCTTTGTATTTCCTTGAAACAGCCCATTTGGAATGATCATTAATAGAATGGAAGGTGGAGTTCAAAGGCATCCCTATTATGTTTATATTGTAGACGTGGTAGTCAAGAGAGCAATTCGAGTAAAGCTTTTCACCAGAACGCTGCCAGGATTCAGCCAACAAATCAGTCTTCAGTTCCTGAGCCATCCAGGCCACATAGATATCTGTGGAATAACACAGGGTGTGGGCAAACAGTGTTTCATGTTCCTTCATTTAACAACAGACTGAAAAGCATAATCTAAATTGTGCTAGTTGCATTGTAAAGCATGAAGCTGGCCAGAGGGAATTTTGCCCCCTCCCCTTATTTTGAGCTTTTCAGAAGTTCATTTCTACTTTTTCTCCTTATAGAAAACCTGTTACAAACAAACAGCATGAAAACAGGGAACAGACAGAAAAATTGCAAGTCCTCTTTGTAACAAAATCTCCCAGATGATTCAATCCCCCTATTTCTTCTTCTTTATTACTGTTGAATAATGGAACATAATTTTCCTGAAAATCTGATTGTTCAATACTTTAGGATGGACCAGGCAGCTTTTTGCTTTCTGAGGCTATGAGAACATTAGGATAGGACAGCACATCTTGCCCTCTGTTACAATTATTGCTGAAGACAAACTTCCTTTTTCTCCCTCAGAGAGAATATGAATTTTAAAATAATTTATTCATATTTTAAGAATTAATTGAGAATGTATTCTATAGAAAGCAAAAGGTTCTCTTACCATCTATGAACAAGTGTGACTTTGCAAAGTGGAGAAAGGTTTCCCCCTGAGCTGACTGGAGCTTGGAGAGGTGGTGCAAGGGGGGTGAGGGCAGCCTGGACTTTGCACAGAGTTTCTGGAGATTTGGGAGATCAGCTTGGAAGATGTCAGGGATGGAACAGCTGTAGATTCCTGGATTATAACTCAGCATCTGTTGGTCTAAGAAAAACCCACAAAAATGAACACATGCGGAATTAAAATGGGTTAAAGAAAAGCAATCAAGAGAGGAAAGTTCTGTCTTGGACAGAAAACCTAAATCCTTCTTAATCTTCACAGCCCATCTCCTGGATGAGTTAAGTGTCAAAGTATCTTATTGTAGCAACTAAGAATTTGTGTGTTGCTTTGTATTCTGACTGGCCCTGCAGCACAAAGACTGGCTGGGAGAGTACACTCAGGCTTTCCACTTACAGCCCATTATTTCTAGCAGAGCTGTTAACTGGTGGTTTTGATCACTGCCACTTCCACTCATGCCCATCTTGGAGCCTCTCTGCAGTCAGGAGCCCTCAGACATCATGTGTAAATCCAAACCTGGCTGTATTTACAGGACTAGTTTCCAGCCAGTTACAGCTGCCAAGCCAAATGCAAACAGAGGAGCTGCCAAAGGATCGAGTTTGGTTTTAGGGAGAACAGAACTTGACTTTCAGCATCTGGATTGAATCTGCAGGAGAAATCTCCTTTTCTGAACAGTGCTCAGTTGTAGAAGTCCTTGCCATGGATAGCATAAACAGCCAGGGAACAAATGGGCTCATTAGGTGAGTTCATGGAACACCAATCCATCAGAAACATTCCAAGTCTTTCTGGCTCAGGAAATCCCTGAACCACAGATTAGCAGAAGCTGGGAGGATGAGCATTAGCATATGCACCTCATTTTTTGTCCTCTTCTGCTAAACACATGCCTAGATGTGTTTCCACAAACAGGAACCTGGGTTAGATAGCTCTGAGGTGTGGCCAGCCTGGCAATTTGCACAGCATGTGCCATTCATTAACTTGATTTGAGGTTTGTAAGTGAGAGAAGAGGGGAAAAACAGTGTGAAAAGAGTTGAGGAACCTGCCAACATGACTTCTTGTGCTGTCTTTCAATAGTCCCTTTTCAGGATTCCAGTACCAGTTATCACTGCCAGATAGTTCTGAATCTTGCAGCTGTATTTTGTTGGGTTATGGAGTTTTTTATATATTTAGTATTGGCAATTTTTGTGGCAAAGAAATACCTGGGAAAATTCTAGGTGATATTTATTCCATACTTCATTTCTGATGAGTCAAGGCTACTCCAGCTCAAGCAGTGGTTGCCTTACATTTTTAGAAGTGCAGATGACTGATGCTGACTGAGCTATTACTGTTAAAAGTGATTAATCATCCTACTTTGTATTTCCAAAGCATTTGTTTGCCTGGGCTGAGTTTACTCTTGATATGCACTTGTGACTATTATTATCCTGATAGTCCCCACAGGGAGATGAAAACAGAGCAGAAGAGTGAATTTCCCACATTCACACAGGAAATCACTGGATAAACACAACTGAAGCCAAGAATGCTTTTTCCAGGCCCCACTTGGTTTCCCAATGTCCCAAAAAAAGGTCAAGAAGGAATTTTTGAGGTGAAACCTCAAGGAAAGCAATCAGAGAGGTGTGGTGGGACTTTCTCAGGGAGAAGCTTTTCGTACCTATTTCTGTGAACTGATCATATCGGAAGGTTATACAGATGGCTGTCTGTCCAAAGGACTCCCCAGTAGATGGATATCCATAACCATCCTCAGGGCTGGGAGGGAACAGGGGCACACTGTGAATCACCCAGAAGCCTTGTGATTTATCCAAGAGCAGAAACCCTGTCAAAATAAAAATAACTGCAAATGAATAAAGGAGGAAAAACCCCTGAGATGATAGAGCTGTTCCCCACTTTGGTTTTGCTGCTGCAGATCCCACATTTCAATGTGTTAATGTCTACAGTAAGCTGTTCTAGAGTAGATTATTAGGCCATAGGAGACACTAATATTGAATTAAAATTGCATCAATTCTTTCCTGCATAACTCAAACTGTCATCATGTTTTATTTGAATAAAATCCTTTCACACCCCCATCCTCTGCTCAAATTTTGCCTTCAAGAGTTCTGACAATAGAAGGTCACAGGTTGTGACCCTCTCCATTGCTCATCTTTCTTCACTTCAAATATTCACTGGACAAAGGGAAACAGGTTCTGTCAACACTGTGGTTCTTTCCCAGACCAAAATGTCTCCCATGGGGAAGCAGCAGAGAGACAGGCTATGCTCCTCCCCTCCAGGGGGAATCATGCTCCTGAGCTGTGCCCATTGCTGCAGCCTGGAAATACAGCCCTGCAAAATGTGCTCATTTCCACCTCAGGCTGGGCAAACCCCACCTGCTTCCTCAGGGGAACATTTAAACTCCACTGAAGTTTATACTCATTTGAAGTCTTGATTTTCTGTAACTACATCCTACAGTGCTTCCATGATCTTGGCAGCAGTTTCTGGTCCCAGAAAGTGTGCAGAGGTTTCTGTTGAGGGAATGTTTCCCTTCACATCTTGTACTGCTTTGCCATCAGGCACAGGATGTTGCTCAAAGGATTTGTATTCGTTTCAACTCTTGAAACAAAGAGTCCATAAGCCCCAGGATCCTTCACACAGCACAGGCATAGCAAAACCAAAACAAGCTGCAGCGTAGGTAACTATACAAAAACCACACACCATGCAAATCACTCTTCAGTTTTGCTTTAGGCAGGAATTTTAGATATGCAGATAGGCAAACAGACAGACAAGCAGATGCTATCTGCAACTTTAGAAAGGAGAAAATAGTAGTTTGGGACTCTCCCTGTACCTTTGGTGTGTCCACATTTTGATCCTTTGGAGTCTGATTCAGGGATCTCATCGTTGTATATTGCATATGCAGTGGTGTTCCTCTGCAGGGAAACACACATTTCTGAAACATGACATTCAGTAAGAGAAAGGCACTTAAGCAAACATCTGCTGGGAACAGAAGAAAGAATTCAGGATCCCTCTGTGTGAACCTCATGAGCCTAATCCTGCTCCCAGTTCAGCTGACACAGTCTGCACAGAGCTTACAGTACAATAAACCTGAAGACTCAGCATTAGCCCTAGCTGACATGAAGTGGAAGCTCTCTCAACCACTGCAGTTGCCCTTTCTCAAGGGTTGAAAATGCTTGCTAAGCCAGTTTACATGGGTTTAGTGGCCTCTTGCTTGCAAAGAACTTCCACTGTCTGTTTTTTGGGCCTCTCTCTGATTTAGCAATCAGATCTGCTAAAAAAAATATTTGCTGAGTAAAAATAGACATGACAACTGTTGTTATTAAGGGCAAGCAATTAAAGCTTTTTTGCAAAAAATTTGCATACAGCCACACCTTATTTCCCCTGAATAGAGAACTTCAAAGGAGTTGGGATATGCCTCCCCTCCCAATGTACTTTGTAAACAGTTTATTACAGCTGCAGTAAGACCTGGGATTTGACAGTTTTCTGGACTGCCAATATTTGAGTGACTTTTGGGAGTCTCTTCTACATACAAATTAATTGCACCCTACCACAAACCCACAGGAGAAATGTGAGGACACACCCAGACTCCCAACAATACCACATAGATGGGGAAAAAAATAATTATAGGGAAATCTTATGATATTTTACAGTCACTTCACACAAATGTATGTGAGGTGTCTGAGGGTGGGAGCAAAAAAAAGGTCACAGTCATTTCAGGAGGACAATGAAAACTCAGATTTGATTTGAGTCAGAGTATGAAACACATGCACATAGCAGGGCTTAGGACAAGTGTCTGTAACAATTACCACTGACCTTGGTCAGATATTGCTTCAGATATTGCTCAACATGAATTGCCAATTCATGTTGGCATGAAAAGAAGCCAAAGGGAGAATGTATGAACACTCTTTTTTTGATGGACAATACTCTAACTATATGAAAAGCCTGACCAGAAATAAGTTTGAGGATTATCCCTAATTGTAGCCAAAACTGCAAATAATCTGCCCAGCTGTCAAGGTGCTCCTCCCCTATGTGTTTTAGCAGATCCATTGGTCAGGCCTGGCCTTATATGCTTATTCTGGCTGCTTTATTGTCATCTGCAGAAAATATCAAGTAACCACACTAACAAAAACAAAATGTCACTTGCCTTGGATTCATATGTCTCATAGAGCTGCTGCAGTGTTTGTCCCAGAGCACCCTGGCTCATGTTGATGAGGTGTTTACCAAGCTGCCACTGTGGAGTCAGAGCATCCATGTACAGGTACTCCAGGCCCAGCAGGGGAATCTGTCCTTTGGCATGCTTTGGCAGCTTGTAAAGAGCAAACCTGCAACAGTGAAGAGCAATTGGTTTTTCACCACCACCCTGTTGGAATGTGTAAATGAGTAGCTCCTTCCCTGAGGAAAAGGAGGGTGAACCCAGGGATGCCTGGGCTGGAGGGGGAGCAGAGGGGCCATCTCAGCCTCAAAGCAATGACCCAGGGACCAGCTGCAGTTTGGCAGCACAGTCCCTGCTGCAGACAAATCTGTGCTGCTTCTTAGCAAGCAAGGGAGGCAGATTCAGCACCAAACTCCTGTTGCTGTGGCCAGACTGCTGCTGGTACCCCTGAAGAATGTGAGGTAGCCTTGGTTGAGTCCATGAAATCCCTACTGCTCCTGGTTTTGGTAAAGGTCCCAAACCCAGTCTAACATTCCCCCATGTCAAACAATTTCTATATTATATAAATATGGCTTTATATTAAATAGATAAAAGGTATTGAAATAAAAAGTGCATTATATTATGTTTATATGGATCACAATCACAAAATAGGTATAAAGCAAAGTGATAAAGTGTAGTTCCAATCATACTTCCCATAATAGACTTGCACTCTGATGAACTGTTGCAGACTGGAAATTTTCAAACCATTAGCCAGGAATACAAATCTCTTCAAAACTGTAAAGTACTCAATATTGTCAGTAAAGAGAGTAAATGGCTCAGTTCATACTAAGGTTCCTGATAAAGTAAACAAGTTTTCCCAGTGCACAAGTCCATGGGATTAATCACAATGTAATTAACTCAGCCACTTTCTCTGAGGGCTGTAATTGAGTAATTTGCTATTAATGTCAACAGTAAGGACTGAGTGGCATTATTTTCAATCTGTACTATTTAACAAAAATGCAGCCTGTACTTAACCCCTCAAGTATATGAGGAGGAGAAAACCTTGCCCAGTTGATTTAGAGGCCCAAGTTGGTCACAAAAGACATCTCCAAATATGGTAAGAAGTGGCAGGAAAACATTTTGCTAGAGAAGAACATTTAATCCACAGGCAGAATAAAAACACACACCAGTGGTGGTCCTGGTAATCTACCTGCATTGCCACTGACTGAATGATCTCCTCAAAGTATCCCAGGAGAAATAACTTCTGATGACAGATCACAGAGAAGAAAGTGATTTATACAACTAGGCTGGGGAGAGTGGTCTGTGCCTCCACATGCACCAGGAGTCACACAACAATCCCTTTATTTGAAATAAAGATTTGAAATGAAGACTCGGGAAGGAGAGGAATAGCAGTAGTTACAGTAGTAAGAGCTGATGCAGGAATTAGTAGATGAAGCCTTTCCAAACTACTCTGACACCTACTGAAATGTTTATGCTCTGGAAGTGTTTACAGCCTTGCATCTGACAAACCCACCTTGGCAGACATGCTTATGAAATGCTGGTCATTGAGCTATCAGGAAATTGCCTGCCAATTCCCAGTGGATACATGTTTTGGCTCTTCCCAGAAAGCCAGCTCAGTGTATTACCAATTAAAGTTGTATAAAATATTTAGTGCTATTCGTGCACAGGAAATTTCTCAAGAACTTAGGCATTGGTGGGAGCACAGTAAAAGTTATTTCCCTGAGAACCAAGAAAGAGCAAATCCACTTAGACTGGATTAGCATTGTCACATTGTTTTCTTGGGACTGAACACAACTTACAAGCAAGAATCACATCTTTACTTCTTCCCTTCCTCCCCACCCCACCAAAAGAAGCCCAAACAAACAATGTGCCATGGCAGCTTCAGTCCTTGACTCAGCATTTCTCAGAAAGCATAATTCTGGCTTTTATCTGCAGGGAAGGCTTCCCACAGAAAGCAGTGAGTTTAGATGAATAAAGGGAAGTCTCTGCCCTGCTCACACAGCCGGTCCTGCGAGGATTGCGGGATGAGATCCCGAGCGAAGGGAAAACACAGGAGCGATTTCTGCCCGCCCAGTGCTGCGTGCGGGGAGGAGCTGCCAGCCCAGCTGGGGAGCACAGATGGGATCAGGTCAGATAAAGCAAGTGATCCCTCTGGTTCAGCGGCAAATGAAAGGGTGTGTGAGCACTGAGGAGTTAGGGTGAAACCAGTGCATAGCAGGAACTCACACAAACCTGCTGCTAACTGAAAATAATGCAGTGTTGTTTGTTTAAAAGGACATTGACATATTTTGTTTAAGAGGAGGCTTTTCTCAGCAGTTTCAGTTCTGCTTCTCCTGTCAGCTTCATAGCAACCAATCCAGAATCCAAAGGCTGACTCTTTTTAGTAAAGCAGAATGACCCCAGCTGACAGGCAAGTTTCTCTTCTTTTGATCAGGGCATATTGAAAAGGTAACCCCCTGTCCTAGCTGCTAAATTTGTGAAAGGGAACATGGATTTGCCTCTGCAGACCCACAAGTTCTCTCCTGGAACAGGCCCCATGTCACTGGCATTGACACTGAGGCACAGGTGAATTACTCCTAGCCCCTTTAAAGAATTTCTCAGAAAATTTTAATACAAAAATGGTCTTCATCTAAGAAATTGACAGTTTGTATATATATATTGGTCTTTGGGATTTGTTTGTTTTGTTTGTTTGGATTTCTGTGTTCATTTGTTTTTCACGAAAAACCTCATTCTGCAAGGAATAAATCCAGTTTAGGGAGAAATAAAATATCTCATAGCTTAAAGTTCCTGGGCAGCTGCACCAACTATGAGTCTGATTCCTGAAAAAATTACATTATCCAGAAGTGCCTTGGCAAAGGTGACAAATCACAGGGATGGACTAGACCCTCATACATTTGATGCTATGCCAACAGAGCAAAGCCAGCCTTGTGCTCCTGTCTGTGGTGCAGGACCGCCTGCCTTCCCTGCAATTAGCTCTGTGTGCAAGGAAAGGGATGAGTCTATTTCTTTAGCACTTGTATCCAAACTAATCGTTGTTCACAAGAAAAACATTTTTCTTTTGATATTTATCTTCAGGAAGCTCTTTTTAAAGAGCCCTCATTTCACTTTTAAAATCTGAGCTGGATATTATGCAATTTTACTTTGCATCTTTTCATCTTGAAAGCTCATTAATCCAATTAATCCTGTAACGCCCGAAGTTGGGCTCGCAGCTGGCACTGGGAAGGCACCGGCGGTGCCGTGACGGCAGCTCCGGGCAGGGAGCGATTCCTGCTCCAGGCACGGGCACAGGAGCTCGACCAGCCCGGGGCGGCTCAGCCTGCGCTGCCCCTCAGTGCCCTCAGCAGGGGCCGAGAGGGCCGCTGCTGTCAGGGCCAGCCGAGGGACACCCGGGCGCCTTCCCCGCCGCCGTTCCCGGGCCCGGCCGTGCCCCCGGGGCGGCTCAGCCTGCGCTGCCCCTCAGTGCCCTCCGCAGGGGCCGAGAGCTCCGCTGCTGTCAGGGCCAGCCGAGGGACACCCGGGCGCCTTTCCCGCCCGCCGTTCCCGGGCCCGGCCGTGCCCCCGGGGCGGCCGCTGGCGGGCGCAGCCCTGGCACCGCAACACAGGTTGTGCTCCCTTTGATCATGAGACATGAACGCTGTGTAAAACCGTGATTATTTGATTGTTCTGCAGTTAGTCATGATGCTGCACCGTGGTTGGTTGAGGGAAATGAAATCCGATTTCAGTGACTTATCCCAGGTTTTTCAAACGCAGCACTCCGCCACTGCTCTCGTGCCAACAGCGCTGAACCAGCGATTGTCTTTGCATTGCTCCTCGGTGACCCAGCCACTTCCCGCGGTTTAATCTCAATGTATTTATTTACTCTCCCAGCTTTTCTCCCCAGCACGGAATTTACTCACCAGTCCACCGTCTCCCCATTTTCATTCCTGCAGGAAATCCCAGCGGCCCACAGGGGCACCCAGGAGAGGAGTAAGAGCAGAGCAGGCTGGCACCAAGCAGATCCCGCCGGCATTTTGTTTTCCCGGCTGCGCAGGGCGAGCCCCGAGCGGCTCTGAAAGGAGAAGTTGCGCTGCCGGAGCCGTCAGCTCCTTCCCACGGAGCAGGGAGCGCACCCCGCCTGGGAAACCGGGCTCCAGGGCAGGGCCGGCCATGCACAGCGGGGCAGGGGCGCCTGGGAGCCGCCGGAAACTGCTCACGGCTTCTTTGGGCAACAAAATGTCAGTGGACAAGCTATGTTTTTGACAAAAAACAGAAAAAAAGTATTTTGACTATTTAGAATATTCACGGTATTCTGCTTTAAATAAAGTTCCAGCCTGCAGATACCGAAACCCTTTTTGTTTTCCTTTCGGTTCTCCATGATTGACGTACAAATTTTTCACAACTACCTGAAAAACCCCTGGTGTTCAGACAAGCAAAACAACATCACTCCAGCTCACTGCTTCTCCGCCCAGCCCTTGCCCCGTGCCCGCAGAAAGGGCTCCCGGTGAGCGCCCGATGCCGGCGCTCGGCACCTCCAGTCACCCCTGGGCACCTCCAGTCCCCCTGGGGACTGAGCCCTTAGGGACCGAGCCGGAGAAACGCTCTGATCTCTGAACCAAATGAATTTACTTACAATTACCTAGTGCTTTTTTCAACTATTTTTAAAGTGCATTTAAGAACAAACATGTCTGAAGGGAGCGATTTCACAGCTGATAATCTTTTAGCAACTCACACATAAAAAGCTTCAATTTATATTTTGGTGTGGAAAGTGCTCTTTCTCCATTCTCATTATGCCTACATGAAAAGGGGCTGATTTACATCAAAAGTTGTTGATATGGAGTATGGGATATTTCAGCCTCATGGAAAGTCTAGTGCAATGAGCTCTGGGTATTTTAGCACAACAGAAATCCTCACGACCTTTGCAGAATTTTGTCACCTTGCTAGTACAGCCTGTCCAACACTGTAAGATATGTGTAAATGGGGTGTGTTTGACAGAAGCAGGGCAAAACTTAATAACAGGGCTTAATGCAAACAAAGCCAATGATCCCAGAGAAGAGACTCAGTGAAGGTCTATATAGTCAGGACTAAATCACAGATGACAAAAGAGAGATTAGTTCACTGTGACTCCTGTTCTATAATCTGTTCCTCAGAAAATTTTAGAATTTCACCACAGCTGCTACTAATACAATAATAGTCTCCTAAAGCATTTTTTCTTCCTGTCAGGACTCTGCAATTTATAATGAAAATATTCTCATTATCATGGGTAACTACAAAAATAAAGGCCATAAGCACTGTTTATGTTTCACTGACATTGTTTCATGACAGCATAACTCAGACTTCCACTGCATTTCTTTACTACTGCCACATGTTTTCTTTGCAGATCAAGGACCTTGAAGTCCTCAACTGTGAATATGGCAAGAATACAATTAAGTTCCTTCGCCTTCATAAAGAAGGAAAGAAGCAGTTTGTTAAAGAAGTGGAAGTGTGTGCGCATCTCCGGCTGACTTCTCCTCAGGAGTACCTGGAAGGAAACAATTCTCTTGTGATACCTACAGACACCATAAAGAATATTGTCCTTGTGCTGGCCAAAAAAAATGGGGTATTTTTTATTTTTTAACTAGCCTTGCTGTTTCTTACAACTTCATTTGGAAGTATTTGTTTTGCTAACTTTTTATTTTCAATTTGCATACCAGTACCAAAGTAATTTTCAGTGATTTTAGTTTTCATCCTCCACTGCTTGTTCTGTGGATTCTTAGTTTTCCAAAGCCTTTCTTCTCAAGATATAGCACTGGTTTTTGTGGATTTATCATATAAAAGCCATCTTTTTTTTTTTAATTTAATAGCCCATAATCCCGCATTATTCCTATATAGTATTTTTAAACAGAAGGTCTCCAAGTATGAGATGCCTCTTAAGTCTTCTGTGCTCTTCCTGCCATCAACTGCATGTATCATAATGACAATCTGTAGCACTGTATTTCTCCATAATGGAATCCCATCTTTACCCTGTAAAACTTAATTACGGTATCACCATATCAATCAGAATAATTGTGATAAATTATTATTTCAGCATTATATCCGCAAAGCATAACACTCCTGCAGCAGTTTCTCTCAGTCCAAGAACTGCAGCTCACTGTACCACAGAATGAAAGATTTTTGACACAACTATAGTTGCTATTTGCAGCACACGCGGCAAGCTGGTCAAATGACTGGGAACAGTGAGCCAAGCTAGAAATTAGAGAAATGTGTTTTTAACCACACTGATTCTTACATACAACAACCAGAAAAATCTACTTTTGTACATGAAGTTATTGCTTCTTTCTAATAATACTGTTTGCTGCCTTAGATCTCAAGTTTAGAACAATTTGCTATAGATATCTGCAATCACTTCATGACAACATTTTGCCAAGTGGCGTACGTCAAAGCCTACGTTCAAGAAGTACCATGGCAACGTCTGCATGAGGTATCTAAAATACTAATACATTCCATTTGTTTATGCTGTAGTCATTCCTCACTCTCTTAGCTCCTGTTTTCAAATTAACATAATAATATTTATGGCACTTTTACTTACATGTCTGCTCTAAATTGCAGGATGGCGTTCCCCACATCCACTCATTCATTTGTGTTCCTGATGGGATCCGCTTTTGTGAAGCTGAGCAGTGCCGGAATGGTGAGAAAAGAACTGGCAGCATCCCCTACTTCTCTGTAAATATTTCTGCCAATGAGAGATGAAATGGCTTTAGAGATAGCTATGGGTGTTATAGGGCTTAGGGCACAGCCAAACTGCTCCAGAGGTCTAAACCAAAGAAGATTTTTATAGTGTAATTTTGACGTTCTTGATCTCTGAGACATGGCTGAGGAGCTAACGTAGCTCACATTTGTATGTATATCCCAAACATGGAATGGTTACAACAGCACATCCAGCAGAACTGTTACATCCTGCCACAGGATTTAACGGCCTTCTGAGAACAGGCTGCTTCCTTTTCTACCTTATACTACAACTTGTGGTCTCCTATGATCCTTACCTGATACCACACTGCTGCAGGCCAATTGCCCGCTTTGCAGTAATTTCCAAACTCCTGTCAGCATGCCCAGATTTTATTTCTAGGAAAGCAATTTCACTGCTGCAAGCCAGACTAGCTTGCACATCGTGAGCACTCTGGTCTACATGTGAACCTTTTTTCACATGAAAATACTTCAGAGTGTGCTTACTATTTTTGCACACCATGCATAAACAAAGCAGTATTTAGCTTGACCAAGAGTTTTGTGATACTTAAAAGACAAGTTTTCAAGCTCAGCTGTCTGTCCATGAATTGGCATTCCAAAGGGAGTGTAAAAATTATCGTTACTTGCTGTAGCTTGCATAAAAAACCCAAGTTCAGTCTCACTGTGATGGTGTTTTGTTTGATGCATCTCCTGGATTACTGGGAACGGAGCTGAGGCCACTATCATTTCACATCATGGCTTTAGAGGGCTTAGGTTTAGTTCAGTACTTGGCTATACTACATTAATATAACTTAGAACTATTTCCCATCCTATCCAGAACCAGTGGCAAGACCAGTTTCACTTGCAGACAGGACACAAGTTTTGAAAGGTCCATCTGAGCATTGTTCCTGTGGTCCTGCTGAAAGAACACAGAAAGTCTCCAGTGCCTCTTGGCCTCATCTTTTTTAATGTCTCTAGTATTAACTACTGCTGTACTTTTGGCAGCCTCAACAGTATTGACTGTATTTTCTGGAAAATGTTAAAAAAGACACCTGAATTTAAAAAAAAAGAAACAAACAAAAAGAGTCTATACATTTTTGAAAAGCTGTTGCTCTTAATATAGATTGTATTAAATTTTTCATCATCATGAAAATTTAACAAGCAATTCTGCAACTTCAGATTCTACACAAACAGAAAGCTTTTACGGCTTACTGAAGAAACCACCTTTTCTTCTTAGACTTCCCTTCATGTAGCCCTTTAGTTGTTTCTTTAGAATTCCCTGCCTAGGTGAACAATAACCAAAGTGATGATTTTCAAATCACTTTTATTTTTCTTCTAAGAGAATGTTCTCTATATTTAGCATCCTCCTATGCACCTATCAGCCATACACGAGAGTTCATTTCTCAGTTAATCCTATTGTTTAATAATTTTCTTATAATGAAAAAGAAAACCCTAGTGAAGTTTAATAGAATTATGTTTTGCCATTGTATCAGCTGATAAAAGGCTCAGAGTTTTTTGGAAACTCAAAACATTGTAAGTAACTTAACTGAATCAAAATTTGTCAACTGAAGACAGCTCGAGCACAAAGCCCCCTGAAAGCACAGTGTGAGCTGTTCACCTTGGAAACTCTCCCTTTGGAGCTAGTTTCAGGCTGATTGCTGTACAGTCAGCCAGCCTTTCAGTCAACCTTTTGTTGCAAGGAGCTCTTTCAAATAAGTCTAATTATTTGAATATAAGATAAATATTTCTCCAGGTTCACTGATAGTACCTGCACTACATTAATAACTGTGTGTCACAGTCTTATATCCAAGTGCTGAATTATTCAAGATCTGTACAAACCTCAAAATATCCTGTCCAAAGTCAGTCTCTTTTTTAGATTTTTTTACAGTTTTAGTATATAACGGGGGGACATGGGCAAAATGATAGATACACCTCCTTAGACTAATTCAAAAACAATACTGCATGTAAACAAGAAAAGAAATATAGATAAGATACAGTGTCAGTAATATCCAGTCACAGAGCAGTTTAAAAACACCCAAACCTCTAAACAACCATGCAATATAGAAATGCCTACCACGGTGGAATTATTTCCGGTATAAATTCCTTCAAAGACATCATTTAAAGACAAAATTTGTGAGTCTTCCAAATCCAAGGCAGGATTACTATGCACTTGACATATTCAAGGATGAATTTTGAACTAGCTAGTGTGAGCACCAAGAGCAGCACAAAACCAGCAGCTTGGACTTCAGGCCTGACTATCTGCACAGGTCCTGAATGAGCCTGTATGCCGTGAAGTTTCTCTTTTCTGAATAAGCTCTTTGGCAGCTCTGGTCAGTAAAATTTTCTGTTACCATCTTGGTGTGCTCTAAATAACTGACTGCTTGAAATTAAAATAGCTGCCGTTCAAAAGGTGTCTGCAGAAAAAGTTCACAACTGCTTGGTGTTTGGAAGACAAAGATCCACCCATGCAGCAGTGATCCTCGACAGCTTGTTTTATAAATAGTGGCTAAGAGCAAAGCCACTGTCAGTTTGAACCTGTGGGTGGCATCTGTATCAGTGCCAGTTCCTGCTCATTAGCTGAACTGCAGGGATTTGCACTGGCTCCTGGCTCTCATTCTCAGAGATGCAAAACTCCCAACAGGATGGGTATCTAAAGCAAATTACTGACTGAGGCTCTGTGTTTATACCAAGAATTTTTACATTCGTCTGTGTCCTTGGAAAAGGCACCATCACAGCACTGATAGCCTATTTTATTTCCCTTTAGAGCCATTCCTAAATTGACATCAGCATGAGCCAACCCAACACGTCCCAATTCCAAGCGAGATAAAAGAGTCTATCCTCAATTCTCCTTAACTGCATATCACTTGATGGGATTCTCCATTTTCTAGATTGAGCCTGACTTCAGTAGTTTCTGTCATTTCTTACCTTTCTGCCAATATCAGTATGCAGAAAGTTATTGTCTGCTTTCTGGCTCTGGAGCTGTCAATGCAAGTATGCACCCAAAGATTTCATTCTTTGTGTAAAAAGAAGCTCATATTTTCTTGTAATTTTCAATCACAGGTCCTCTGATTGTCTTTGCTGGAATTAAGGACCTGAAACTTATGAAGACAACACAGTCTGGATTTAAAGGCTTCTATAAGAATGAACACACCACACTTCCTGAAAGACATGACAGGATTCTGTGTGGAGAGTTCTTCTGCAAATGGTCATACGGCGAATGCAAGGATTTTGACTTTAACTGCATATGGTATATGTTATATCAAGTAATGTTAATTTCCCAATCTATACTCACAAAGTCCCTCTGTACAATACAGAAGGTGTAAGGGCCAGATCCACAGCTGCTGTGCACCAGCCACTCACAGCAATAAGCTCTTGTTACAAGGGGTGAGAGGCATCTCTTAGGGGTACTTCCCTCTCTAAGGGTACATCATTGGACAGGATTCAAATGAACAGTTCAGTGTACAGTACAGAAGACTTTAGGAAAATAAAATAACTATCTGTTAAATAGTTTTAACAAAACCTTTCTCTGAATTATATATCTGGTGGGCATGGGGAAAGGAAACAGAATTTGGATGAAAGTACAACTTGTTCTTGCATAAAATCCCATGGGCTACATATTTGTCAGAAAAGACATGCAAAATATAAACAAAAAACACCCCACAGCAGAGCATTACAGATTTAAGCAGAGACAGCTGATACAAGGTTTTGTAAGAACCTGTGTTATCTCTAGGAAAAAAATCCGTGAATGTATCCTTGAAGCCTTTGCTGGACCACCTGACTGTGGGGAATATTCACCCTCTTACCAGAAAACTGTCAACTGTATCCAGATGCTTGTCCTTTCCAGAGTGCCACAGGTATCTTCTTTCCTCCTAATGATGTTTTACTTCAACAATAGTGAATGTTAATTGCACCACTGAGAAGACCAACATGAGGCTGTTATTTCCTCTGTCAGTTCTAAGAGTGGAAACTCACCAGCTGGAAACACAATGGGGGAGAACATCACTCAGTTCTTGGCAGCACTTGAATAAAAGTGAAAGGTGTGCCACACATGTTCACTAGATTGCATTTGATCAACTGTACTGAGGGGGTGGCATTGTTCTTTTTTACACAGAGTGAAAAGCCTGCCAGGTTGTTGACTGAAAAGGTGCCCTAATTCATTGTCTCATCCATTTTCATGGTTTCAGGTACAGGTCATAGAAGTCGTCTTGAACAACACCTTTTATAATGTTGTAGACATGAAGAATCTAGGCTTGACCAATGACAAAGAAGTAAGTAAATGCTTCAAATACAACTTGACTGCCCTCTTTAGAAATACTCAGCCTCAAAGCATAGCAGCAGTTCTACATAAAACAGAGTTAAAGTGAGCAAACTTTCTCCCAGTCACAGTAAAAGCTCCACATTACCTCTAAAAGAGACTTAAACTGATTACAAAAGTAGGATAAATAATTGTCTTTTTGTGTTATTGATAAAACTTGAATGGCAAGTGGAATTCTCTGGACATCAAAAGGATCTGTAACAGAGACTATCTTTGAAAAATTATTCCTTCTTTCTCCACTGAATTTGACTCTCAATTATAATGCCAACCTGTGCATTTTACCCAAGCAGAATGCACTGTGGCATCCCAGATTGGTCAAATAGTGGGTAAGATGCAAGCCTGGGATCAGGCAGAGAGCAAAAGGCAGGGGGTGAGATGTATTTGCTCCTCCCTCCACAGCCGGTGGAGCTGCCAGCTAGGTCTAGCTGAAAGTCTGTTACGTTACCCTCACATGAAAGAGAAAAATTGGGCTATTCCATTGACATTGATGGTCTATAGTCTGTTTGTGCTCTAGTCTCCCTCTAAAGTCTTGCGATTCTGCTACTGTGCTCTCCTACCCTTCCCCTCCTTCAGGTGGACATTATAGATCCACTCTTACTTGCGATAATGTCAGCATCTACCACTGATGTTCCGAAGAGGGAGAAAAGGTCTGGCATGATTTTCTGCTGGTCTATCCCTGTCTCAAACATAACCTTTGTGTTTGTGCTCATCCCCCTCAGGTTTTGGTTCCAGTGGAAACTCCTTATGGCTCCTGTACTTGCACACTTGGCCGGAAGACATTTTTTGAAGCACAAAGCCAAATGCTGAGAGATGAGAGGAGATGTCAGTTTGGACTGGCAGCTGGCCAGGGAAACTAAACCTCTTGGCTCTACTCAACCTTCCTGATAAACTTAACAGCATGGCTTTCCTATCAATGTTTACTCCTTATTGGCCTCTTCCATTGCTGACTGCTTTTCCCTCTATGAACTCCTGAACATGGGATTTATGAAGGACCCTCAGGAAATTGGAAATAAAAGTCTGTCCCTGACTTCCAATGTGATTTGCAGGCTGAAGTGCCCTAAGCTCTTTGGAAAATCCCAGCTGGAAACATTAGGTAATTTAATTTTTAAACTAGCTATTCCTAGACCTTTTAATGAAACAAATAATTTGATGTCTGTAACGTGTTTTTGACATGTAAAATCAGGAAATCTCTATATTCTCTTTATTAATATTTCTTCAGTAAGTTGAATATACAGGCATAAGACCTGCTGTTTCATTGACATAACCTGTCATGACCCCTTGACACCACACTGATCTACAGAGCTGATGTTCTGACTGAGTGACTGAACGGGGAATCAGTCAGAATCAGGATTTCTTTAAGCAGAAGATGAGGAAAAAAAAAACCAAACATCTCTCATATCTCCTTTGTGTTGTAATAGTTACAACTTTCTCTGCATGTAATCTGACTGCATGACTGCTGCTGCTACTCATCAGACTGTAGTTACTATAGTACTTTTACATTAATCACTGAGGTGATTTGAGGGTTTGGGCTATCTCTGTAGGTTTAATTAAATAGTTTTCTTTATTCTAATAATCTTATCATGACTTCTGAGCAGGTAGGAGTCAACCTACGTAGCCCTATTACATTTAGGAGGGGTAGGGAGAAAAATAGACAGACAGATAATGTATATTTTACTTTAGTTACCCCAGGTGAAAGCTTTGAACATTAAGATAAAACAATACAGTCAATGATTCTCGTCTCACAAACTGTGGCTACCACATTTGCAACAGGAATCATCCTGATCTTCCAACAGCTTCAAACTCTTTCTCTCGTTTTCTCAGAGTGTCATTTTTACAGACTCCATGTGACAGAGTACAAAACAAGTGGGAATTGCCCAAAGTAAAAACTGCAGTTAAGTTGCCTTTGTGCCTCCTGAGTTTGCAGACATGCAGCACTGCTCTGGTACAATCATTAAATTCATAGGCACTAAAAATAGGGGAGATGTCCTGCTCTGTGTGATATTTTGAGGTGCTTTGAAAGATAGAAACTTGCCTTGATGAGCAGGGCATAAGAGATGCAAGAGGAGAACACTCCACCAGCCTGGCCTATGCCCTGAACAGCAGGAAAAATGACACCATGGAGTGAGGCTGTCCCAGCTGTGATGTCCTCTGGTCACCAGCCAATTCTGAAAGCTTTATTCACAACACTTCTAACTTTTCCTGGGGATGTTCTTGCTTACCTTCTTAGATTGTGTTGTACTGTACTTGTGGGCTTATGTCTTGCTACTTCTGTCACTTCTAGGTGCTTTTAATTTATTAATGTATCTTTTAAAGGCAAATAAAGAGCAACATCAAAAAACAAAGTAGCTTTTGACTATTTACTACCTATATATAAATGTGAACACTTTAAGTAAAAGAACTATTTTAATTCATCAAATTTCACCTCAAAAAGTGACCAGTCTTCTTCCAAATGACACTTCACTACCAGTAGATGAAAAAGAACCTTACTGAACATTTCAGCATTTACCTCCCTCTGAAACAAAGCAGAGCTGCACAACCAACTTCCTTTCTACCTTATAAGAAATTTACTGCATTAAGCACAAGGTTTCTTTCACTACTTTTTGTGCTTCATTTGTGGCCCTGCAAGGTAGTGGTGGACTAACCTCTATGGTGGAATGAGGACACAAAGCAGCGAGCAGTTGTTTGCTGAGCCAACAAACACACACACACTCAGTCAGTGTAGTTTGTATAAACCTCCACAGACAGGCAGACACTGACTGTCTTTGGAGCATCTCAGTGCAGCTCCATCCAGCACTGCAAACCTGAGTCACTTACGTGGGCAGATTGCTTCTAAAGAAAGCACTCAGGCAATCGGAAGCAGCCCCAATTTCCCATATGGCAACAAGATTAGGGTAACAGTGGCATAAATCAGTCTTGAAAATGTGACTTAGCCAGACTCACTTGGGCCTGAAATCTGACCAAATTCCCATTGGCTTCATTAGATTCAGTCTCCACGATGGACTTGCATTAATTTCATTCAGACAGATGTTTTTTCAGTTCCTGTCCTAAGGAGCTGCTCAAGTTGCTTACTGTGTTTTACTCAGAAGCAGCTGTGATGCTTTGCTGACGCCATCACACTTGATGAAAATGAGCAGCAGCTAGCAGGTTGTAAAATTGCTGTTTAAAATACAACTTCTTGCTGATAACATGAACCTTGCTGGTCCTGGGCCACATCCCAGTATTCATAGGGGATGAAGTCTCCTACCCACAAACAGAGTATTTCAAGTGCACAAACGCATTATCTTTTTAGTCTTTGATTCTTTCCCATCCTGTTTCTGTTCAATTCTGATAACTGCCCAGGACAGTCCAGCACAGCCTGCCTCAGCTGCTCACCATGCTCCATGCACAACCAATGTCACCCAGATAAAATGTACCAGCTAAACTCATCAGCCAGTACCTAAAACAGAGAACAGATGTCACTGTCAGGGTCAGGACAAGTCATCTGTCTTCCCTGACTGTATTATTCTATATATATTGTTACCTGCTTTCCAGTATACATTTAAACCTGCCAGTTTTTATTAACTATCACAGCTACTTTTTTTTTCCTTCCTGAGAGTTGTATTTTTCCTTTCTTAATTTAACCTTGCTTTTATCAAGAGTACATAATCCTGACTCTAAATTAAGCTGAGCTACTTAAAGTGACCAAAAAACTGTTTCTGGCTAAAAATCGGAAAATAAATACTTCTGAATTTAGAATTACACTATTTTTATATATACAGCACCCAACCATATCCCTCCTGGAAAGTGCACAGCTGTATCTAGAAAGGAAAAATATGAAATATTTCCAGTTACTGGATCAAAAATATCAGCTCACACGTCAGCTACAATATAAAATGTTTTTTGAGAGCTTCACCATTCATAGCAGCCTGAGAAGGACACACACAAGTACCTGACTGCATGCACACACACACGTATGTGTATAAAACATGAGTATAGATGACACCTACTAGATCAGCTGATGTATGTAGGACTAATCTATGTCAATCACATCAGAAAAAAATTATGATCTGGGGTTAGCTGTTGCTAAAACAAAAAAAAAACCAGCCCAAACAATAATGGAGGGATTCAAAATTAGATAAACGAGGGGGTAGAGCAACCTTTGATTCAGAGGGAAATACAACAGAAGTTCAGAGTGCCTGAGTACTGTGGAGGGCTTCTGCCACTTCTCAGGTGTGGCACTAGGAATGAATTTCTACATTACATCTGACTGAAAAAGACAAGAATTCTAGTTTTCATGACCTTATACTCCTGCAATGTTTTCAAATCCTCTAGACACACATATTTCCAGGCAGGAAGGCCCAGCCAAACTGGGGTGGGTTATTTATGCAGAAGGGAGAAGGGAATTCGAAGTGTGTCCTTGTGAAACAGGGTTGCTACACCCAGGCACACACCCATTTCCACATTTCTCTCCCCCAGTCTGGCCACCAGCTTGTGAACAAACTCACCCACAAGTTCCTTACTTTGACTTCCTTCCTCCTTCCCCAATCCACTAAGATCCACTAAGACAAGACAAGACAAAGCAATGTTACTCTTGAATCCCAAAGATCAGTGCAAACGATAAGCCTTCCCTCCCTTGTCTGATAAAATTTAGCTGCTAAAAACAGAGGCATCCTCAATATAGTAAGTACCAAAGAGTGTACTCTGTAGAGGGGCAGCTGGATTATAGCAATCATCCAAAAAAGGGAAGAGAACATCCTGAGATGAATGCAAGTCTGCCAATGCCAAGACATGTGCTGCTGCCTTATCAGCAGATCAGCTGATAATAGAGCAGTTGTAACTGCTGACTGCTCCTTCAGCAAGGATGCTCACAAGAGCAGCATATAAATACACCACTGGTCTCCAGTACTCACCAGCAGCCTTCAGCAGCAATGAAACCCTCACATGGAGCCCAACAACCACTTACAGTCTTCAAGGTGCTCCCCTTAGCCTCTCCAGGTGCCTGAGGCTGCATTTCCCAAATTTATAGCAACTACAGACCAATGTTATTCTGGGAATCGAACACACATTGAAGATCCAAATGAACATCACTAAATCAACTCCCTAATTATAGGGGCTAAGCAAAAAGTAATTTAATGACCTTGTTACACTATCAAAAAGAAGACAGACTTTCTCAATAGGAATGAAAGTTACTTATTAAATCAGTCTGCCCTTTCTTCCAATGGAGACTGCCCCTGCCAGTGGGCTAATGACAGCCACTGTCTTCAGCACTTCCCCTGGGCAAACTGCTGTCCAAACTGAGCAACACAGAGGCGATGGAATGGGACATGGCTGAGATCCCTTGGATCACATCTCCATGCACCAAGTCCTCTCATTTGATGAAGAAGCCAATCCATTGCCTGTGTAAATTGCCCAAGGTGAAGGAGAGAGTAAAGCAGACCCTCCTCTGCAGTGCTCCACTCACCCTGCTGCTTATGAGCCAGTGATTGTTACACCCTCCAACATGCACATTCACAGTCATTTCATTTCCCACACGACTTTTGGGCCAAAAGCCATTCCTGGAAGAGAAGGAACTGCTGTTCTGACTTGGAAGTAGAAAACCAGAATGAAGACAAAGTAAGGTAATATTTTTCTGGTCCTACCCAGACTCAGCCTTTAAATGTACAATATTGCCATTAAGAAATGAGAAATAAATGTGCAGCTTTTGTCAGACTCACAGAAAATACGACCCTCTGATTTTAAAGCAACTGTCACTGTAACTTAAGTGTGACACTGGAAAGAGGATTGGTGAAGACAAAAGATCAGTTAAATGCTGATTTTTAAAAAGAGGAAGAGTGAAAGGATTTGGTAGAATTTGAACATGCTAGAATTTGAAAAAGAACATGGTAGAATTTGAAAAAGCGGGGAAAAGAAAGAAGAGTTAATTTAGCAATTAATGCCTGATATTGACAGCCTAATGAGACATTTTGCCAGGGTCATTTCTAACCAGGAGTGATGCATGGGGGCTTACTCCCTCTGTTACAGCTGTTGAATCTTGCCTTATAATTATATGGGCAAAGAATCTTCTACAACCTAATCAAGTGCAGTACATTAGAACAAACTGGGACCAATAACATGTAGGCATGGGAGACAGCAGCAAACAGTCAGAACCATTTTTTCTGGGCTGAGAAAGTGGTTCTGGTGGACAGGTACTGCCACAGATCCCATACTTTGCTGACAGGTGCCTTACCCATGCTTTATGTGTGGTACTTGGCTCTGATTGGATGCAAAGAGAATGTGCCATGTTTTGTATCCACAGCTTTAGAGGAAAGTGACCAGAGCTGATGAACAATTCCTACACATTTCACACCCATCATACCAGAACAGACATATTGTAATGCTTTGAAATAATTTTAAAAGTGTATGAAAGATTCTGAATGATATGCACTTCTGATATTAGGAGAGAAGAATGACAGGGAAGACCTTGGCTGCAGCATGACACTTCTTGTGCTGACCAACAGCAGGGCAGGGGAGCTCAGTGCTGCTTTATTCCTTAAAGCTGCCCCCAGGAGAAGGGCACTCTCTAAACTGCGATTCAGTGTGAAAGCCAAGACCTCCATCACACTCACCCCCTGGATCAGCTGAGCAGCCAGAGGCTGGCAGCTTAACCATCACCAGGGCACAGGCAGGGCTTTTAAGGAAGAGGGGCTCTCCCAGCTGCAGGCACATATAAGGGCAGGATTTAAACTGGATTCCTGCATAGCTCTGCAACTCAGAGCTGCAGTACTGACATGGTATCCAGTAATGCCTATCAGTTGCTTCCTCGTCTCAACAGCAGCTGTGTTTTCTGCAAGAGGAATGGTAGCTAAAAATAATCTGGCTTTGACTTCCTCTTTTAAACCCTTCAGTGTCTTAGAAAGATTTTTTTGTTCTCCCAGAAATGGCAAAGAGAATGTAAGAGACAAAACCAGAACAGTCAAGTGCACAAAGAGAAGAGCAGCATTAGAAAGCTCAGAGAACAGTAGGAAACTACAATAAAAATGAGAGACAGTAAAAAAATTGTCACAGTTTTGACCAATATTTTCCAAATTCCTTTTTGCACTTGCAATGAGATTTCTGTTGTGCCTTTGCTTGTATGACTCAGTGGTGCTGAGCAAAGGGGAAATAAAATCTGGATGTTTCTGACTGCAATTCATTTGCTCATTAAACATATTAAAAGAAAGAACTTTGTTCAGTAGTCATCAAATGCACTCTCATGTCTGCACAGTGGAGATTTTTACTCCTTGGAATACGTACATTTTACTTCAAATTCGGTCTTCCACAGGACCACAAAATGTAAATCCCATACCAAACATGCAAGTGGAGAAAAAAAAGAATATTCAATTAATCCTTCCATAACACAGCACTATGTATTCCCATCCAAAATAATTCTACACATACAGTGCTGGTTAGCATGTCCAGGCTACTTTCATGATCCTTTTCATAAACACACCTAATTCTATATTAAAATATTTAGAAGTTCCATGTATAATTTTTAAATTGCAATCCAAAATTATCCAGATACAGACTATAGCTCAAAATTCCCCAAGGCAGGGTTGATGACCTCTATTTGAATCTAGTCTTCCAGCAGAGCTCTACTCCCAGCAGGTATCTCTGGACATGACCAAACTATAAATAAAATCATAAACAGAATTCAGACCATGACTTACAAACCTGCTGCTAACAGACCAATGCCTGAAGTAAGGTCAGTACAAGGGACAGTCAAAGAAATGATGAATACATCTCTGTCCTATTGTCTCAAATTCCAAATAAATACACTGTACCATGTAAAGGTTAGGAAGAATCCAAGAAAGCATGCTGCTGTATATATTTATGTAATATAGCATATACCATGAGCTTCACCTATGGCATAGGTATTAGCATGGCCTCGTCCCTTCTCTCCCCTCTCTCCCTTTAACCACACACAGCCACCTCACACTTGGCCAAGTCAAAGTGAAGACAGGGTCTCTACCCAGGCAGGAGATAGCAGGAGATTCTCCTTCCTCTCCCTGAATCCTGTCCCCACTTTCACCACACTCTCATGCTTAATTCCTCCTTCCTTGCTCCTCTGCTCAGCATCACCGATGCAAGCCCACATTCCCCATTTCAGGGCTCATGGCAAAGCTCTCTGGGCCAGAGATGATGGTGAGCCCAGACAGGGCTTAGCAGCATCCTTGGGTGTCTCCAGACATTCTGGGGTAAATGGACCCACCCTGTGTACCAGGGCCAGCACAGCAGCTCCACAGCACTGACAGCTCCAGACACGGGTAAGGGAAACACAGATGTTACTGGTGAACTGTGGCCAGGGCTTCTCCTTCAGCAGTATGTGACACCAGAGAAGAAAGAACAAAAATAATTAAATCTTTAAATATTATGGTAGGTAGTGTTACAAGTAATCACAAGAACATAGAATAGTAAGTAGATTTTGATACCTTTTTAATAGGAAAATGGAGGAAAGGAGCTCCAGTATAACACAACAGAGAAAGTAAAAGATCTGTAAAGTAAACTGAATCCAAACATAAGCAATGTTTTATTGGGATATAGCAAGCAACCTATCAAATAGGGAACCAGTACAAACAGATTGAACATGACTCTCTTTTAACAGAGATGTATGGTGACAAGACAGCTTCTTTCAGTTCTTAAAACAAGTATTCAAAGTGTTAAGTAAAGCATTAAAAAAAAAATCAATCATTACAACACCAAAGACAGACAATATTAAAAATGTGCAGAATTTTACTTTTTACAAATTTCTGCATAATGTTAGAAAACAATCATAAATTAAAAAAGGAATAAAATGAAGCTTTTTTGTTTGCAAAGCAACACAAACCTTTAAAAACCAACTATATTTTACATAGGACTACTATTAAAAACAGGTGAAAAGCTGAAAATTTAAAGGACAGCAAAAAATACACAACTCAGTTTCACCTGTCAGCAACACCTTCTGCTATTGAAGGAGTTATGTTAGTTCTATGTACAGCTTTAAACATTGCAGCATACCACAAGTAAACCTTAATAAGGTCAAAATAGGACCCTCTGCAAAAAAGGGTGACTTGGCAAGTGTCAGTCCCATCCTGAAATTATAAGTAGTAATAATTTTAGTAGGTCTTTAGTGTAAACCAAAACCTACTTTAATTGGTTCCTCTCTCTAAAGATGCATGTAAACTTTGGGGTTCTTTTTGTTTATTTTTTTGGTATCTTAATTAATGAAATCAAGAACATGTCTGGCTCAAAAATGAGAATGACATACCTCCCTTTTGTTCTGGATACAGTGATGTAGCTATCTCAACATGCTCATTGACACTTCCTAAAAGAGAAAATCATTATGTACTATGTAAAAAATACACACCACCTCTCTCAGTTCAGACTCAGCATATAGTATATTGCCAGCTCTATCCAATAGGATATATATTCTAATTTGGTTTAAACTCTTAATAGATATATTCTCTCTTTACAAAGTTCCATCACATGAAACCAAATTGCTTATTTTTCCCTTGAGGCACAGCATGACCCCAATTAGACAATTAGCTATAAAGAGTTGTTCTTTAGATGTTGTGTCTGTAGAGGTTTTACGTGATATTCATAGATTTTCAGCGCAGGCCCCAGTTTTAATGAAAGTCCAGTCAGTACATCATTTCTTGTCATCAACAGTAATGATTTGCCATCAATTTCCTATAAGAAGAATTAAAGAGTTGATAAAGACAAATATACAAATCTAATAGAGGAGAACAGTCATGCAACAAATGGAATACTACTATAGAGGATCAGTGAGGAAAATAGTAGCCTTGAGTTTCCTGAAACCATGTTCACAGCTGCTAAATTCTGCTTGCTGTCTGTTTTTCAAGTGCTCACCTGTGCTGACTAAGGCATAAATACTATTTTGTCAAGCACAAAATCCAAATGAGCCTAATTTCAAAATTCCCTCCTTGTAAACCTTTTTCTAATTAATAGGTACAAGTGAAGAATGCCTAATTATCAGCCATTTAGGGAAGGATACTCCTAAGAATGCAGCTTATGAAGTGCATTTCAGAAGAGTTACTATTGACAGCAATATGCAAGTTTAAACTAGTGAATATCTGCTAATAACTTCAGGTGCCTTCTTTAAAAGGCCAACCTTCCCATGCATCCTGTGGGGGGAAAAAAAGGAAAAGACTCTTGCAATCAGAAATTTTGGAAGGGCTTAACTAGAGCTTGACACACTGAGAAAACTTTTCTTCCTCTACTTTTAAGGGAAAATGAGAAAAGCAGAAACTTGTCAGCTTAAGTTTCAACAGCCCTGACACTTTCCTGCTTAAAATACCTCTTGTAAATCACAGATATGGTGGGATTTTTTTTTTCCTTTCAGATCTGTTTAGGTTAGAAATCCTGTAGGCTTTGGATTTTTGTTTTCCATCTTAAAACCTTGACATATGCTTGAAAACTCCCTCTAAATCATTTTTAAACTCAAAATGGAAGAGAAAGAATCCACATCTCTTCACTCCCTTCTATTATCTTGGAAATATCAGAGATCCAATCCTTGATTACAATGCAAGATGAAAAGAAGACTTCTATTAGAACTCAGCAGGAATTTGTCAAGATGGATCTCTCTTAAAATTTGATAAATTTTATAAATACAAAATACATGGACAAACCACAACATAGTCAAAGATCAGCTGAAAGTGGCATTTTTAAAAAATATCCCCAAGATGTATACAACTACTAATCCCTCAGGGGAGCATAAAGTAACAGTAATTCTAAAAGAAAAAAAAGTTTCCAATAACTTTTTACCCAATTATAGCAGGTGCCTCTTTCCAATTACTGTTGAGAATGTTAATGGAAAAAACCAGTTTCTATCCTCTCTTTTCCATTCGTCACAATTCTTTCTGTGGGAATTTTGACACCAGTGAGTGTTTTGCTCATTGCTATGACCGATCTGAAGTTGCCTTTTCTGCTGCTGTTCAACGATGCTATGGAGGAAGAACAGCCTCCAGCTTGGTAGGATCCAAATGGAGTAAATCCAGTACCTGGAATAGGAGAAACTCCAAGAATAGGAAAAAAGCATCTATTCCTTTCCCTTCTTCTTCCACAGGGTTCCCTGTGTTTTCTAGAAATGCTGGTAACTACTAAGACTTCCACTGAATAGGAAACTGATTCTTTAAACACATCTGTGTAGGAAGGAGTGATTACATATTCAGAGTTCAAGCATTTTATATCTTTGTGTGAATTGTAAGCTTTACCTCTTTCACTTCCTTTAAGTTTTCCACATTTACCTGATCCTGCAGAATTGTCACACCCTTTTTTTGCACCAGGTAAGCTTTTGTATGCTCTGGTGACTTCTCTGATCTCTTCTCCGCTACTTCTCTATTTTCTGCATTTTTTTCAGGGTGCAATTTCAATGCTAGCTCTCAGTATGTCTTTAAATGTTAATTGCAGAGAAACTTCTCTGCACAACTCAAGCTAACAGTAATTACCCAGGTGCCAGGATGACCTTAACACCAATATCACACTGTCTTCAACAAATAACCAGGGGACTGCTTAAGCTTCAAGTCCCCCCCCCCATCCCTTCTAAGTGACTGAGAAATGCAAAGTTTTAGAGTAAGCCAGCACACTCACGTGCTCCTCCCTACTGTGGCTCTGCCAGAAAGCAGCAGTGGACCCCAGCTGATGTCAAACCCCAGTTTCCCTTCTGGTAAGGCCTTGCAGTGGGGCCAGCAAACCAGCACTGGGGCACCTGGGCATGTCTGGCTATCACAACACAATGCTCAAGAAGCCACATGGGCCATAACAAAGGTCAGAGCACAAGCACATCTTGAGACCTTATAAACAGCTTCAGTCTTGGAGTGAGCCAAAGTCCCCTGTGCTTCCAGGGCTCCTACAGAAAGCTCAGCCACAAATTGGCAGGCTGTATTTTTCTGAAAGTATCCACACCCTCGTCCTGCAACTGCTACTCCTCCCTCTTCAGGTATCCTGTGTCCTCAACCTCTTGGCTTGACTGATTTGCTTGCTGATGTTATGGATTTTTGTTATTGGGTAACATCCTTCAGCTGAATCTGTTTTCATCAGCGAGCTCTTTTGATTTGCTGACATCAGGGAACTCCAAGAAGGAATAACAGATAATCATCATACAAGCATCACTTCCTACCAGCACTTACAATAGAGGTTAATAAAACATTCTGCAGCCCTTAAAATGTCTCCTAATTATCCTTAAAGTATTGTACAAAAAATTCAGGTCTTAAAGATCTTTTGAGACACTTGTTTCAGGTGAGTCCAGATGTATTCAGATTCATCAAAGGAAAGTGTGGACCTAGTTATTGCTGTGTAAAAGCTCAGTGTAATAAAAGATGCCATGACTACATTCTGGGCTAAGGATATTTTCTAAGGAAACCATTGTGCTACCCCTACTGAAGCAGTTCAGTGGAAAACAATTTCCGAGTGTTGTAGGTGAAACTGAATACTTTCCTTTACTGCTTACAATCTTATTGCTCTTCCAGTACATATTCAGGGCAGTAGATCAAATGAAACTGGGTTTCTGGGGCCCAGGCAACTGCAAATGACAGAGGAAAATAGAGATGGCCAGAATTGCAGCTGTATGCCTGGTGCTCTACAGACAGAGGATGGCTAAGGGTTCAAAATGAACCTGTCTGCACTGCCATACCTGGGAGATCCTGACAAAAACACTGTAAGAACACAGGTCAAGTTAGTGGTAGCAGATAGTGTAGAAGAAACTGGACAGCACCACTGACAAGAAGTTAGGGAGAGGATTGTTTATGGGCCTGTTCTTGATGCAGACAGGGAATAGGCTGGCAAACCTGGCACGTAGAACCAGGCACTTGCTGCTCCTCATGCTGCTAATGGAGAGGAAGAAGGAAGTGGCAATGACTTCTGCTGCAATTACCCATCCCTCAGCTCCTGGCCACATCCTGGTGGCAGCTGTCAGCCTCTCTTTCCAAGGTTTTAGCATAAGGTGAAGTTGGCAGTGGAATCACAGCCACATTTCTGCACATGGCTGTCCCAGCAGAGTCCTCAGTTACCCTACTGAAACCACTTATCCTCATTGCAAAATACTAATAAAACCTACAAGGCTGCTGTTGCAGGCTGATTTGCCAAAACTCAGAAATCAGCCTCACCTTTCTGCTGCAAAATCAGTAGTAATTATTTCAATATTATTGACAATAATTGCCAGCTGTGAGGCAAAGAGGTCAAGATATTTGATGGAAGCCAGAGATATCTGTCAGTATAAGCAAAAGACTCCCAGAGACCACAATTACTTTGCCTGTGTAGTTTTTAAGCCACATTTCCAGGGCTTTTGTGACATGGATGCTGGAATTAAGGACTGGACACACTCAAACAGTTTCCTTTTTAGCCTGTTCACTCATCTTCAAATTCTGAAAAATTAGCAGCAGCTGCAGAAAGAACCTTCTCTGCAACCTGCTAGAGAACCACTCAACAACAGGCTTTTCACCCTCAAGAACAAAGAACTGAATTTAGATACTTTGTTATATGCATCAGTTACATTCAGACTGGATTTCACAGACGTGGTGCTGAAGGGCAGCAACATTACCCTGACCAACCACGAGGTTATTTCATGGACAATGAAATGGACAGTCTCCCTGCAAAGCTGCCAGTAACTTGCACCAGCTCAGCACCTTGGAAGGTCGAGCCATCTATTTTGATAACTAATTACAAGTGTGGGTGACTAATTTGCTGGTAGTCACACACAAGCCTACAGACTTATCTGGGGAGGTGCTGAACTGCCAATGTGATGTAAGTTACTTCTCTATGGAACAGGTGGGCTGTAGGCCAAGCAAGCTGACTTCCCAAGCCTGCCCCACTAGCACACAGCCCCAGCTGCTGGCAGGTGAGTCCCAATGGGCCACCTGACTGCTTAAGCTCTGACCTAATCTACCAAAAGAAACCTCCCATTAGTATCAGCAGTTACAAGGCCCAGAAACAAAGACCTAACCTTTTCTCAGACTGAGTCCTACAAACATGCTGCTCCTCTGCCAACTTAGTGCCAATCTGTCCTTTCCATATTCACTTGTACTGCCAAGTTCAGTGCAACACAGCAGCCCCTTTGTCACCCTATGCCTTCACACTCACATTGTTGCTTAGAAGCCCCAGGTTTTATAAATACTCATGAGTGTAACTACACAATACACTAAGAAAGAAGGGAATTCACATTTTAAACACCATTCACATTTTAAATAACAAGACAGTGAAACTGAGTGGGTTGTATAGGGAGACTGAGTTCAAGCCAGAAAATTTATTTAGATTTCTCACCTTTCTGAATCCTATCTTAAACAAACTCCAACTCATTATCCACAGCTTGTAGAACAAGAGAGATTATTACATTACTCAGAGATCACAGTCCCATGTATCGTCACCCAATAACAGACTCAAATCCCACTATTAATGTGGGATTTTCTCTCGCATTTTACAGTGTATAACCAGGCTCACAGCAAAAATTTGCAATGTGAGAAACTGGTGGCAGTCAAAAGGTGTTTGCTAAGAGATTTACCTGTTCCTGAAAAGCACTGGCTTGTTCTTCAAATCCAGCTGTTCTGAAATAATTCACAACATCAGTAACAGCCCAGTCAGCAGGATCCAGAGGTCTCCCATTCTCTAGTGAACTGCAAAGTGCAAATGCAGACAAGTAATCACTAAAGGTGTGCAGAACATCTGCTGCTGCTTTGTGCATGCCTCATGTACGTCCCCCTCCTTCCTTGCTTCTGCAGGAAAAGTGTTCTTTGATGCATCTCCCCCACTCCAATACAGAACTGTGTCCCCTGTTCTTTCACATTCCACCTCATGCTGGGGAAAACTGAGACCCCTCTCCTTTCAGAAAAGAAGAAAGTATATGAATCTTCACATCAGCCAAAGGCAATCAGTTAGGATCTTCATACAAGTGTGCTGTCTTTCCTGTTGGAGAATGAGAACTGCCACACCTGGGGTACCAAACTCCTGCCTTTCAAGCCTGCAGCTTGCTTTCAGCTACCAAGTACTTAAAGAACTACATGTGGATTATTCGTTACACAGATGAGACTGTCCTTGTAACATGGGTAGAAATTACTGCTAGGCATCTTTACCTTGCAAAACAACAAACAAACAAACAGAACTTCCCAACCAAAACTAAAAAAAGGCACCAAATGATTGAACTAATTCTCAATACAGAAAATTTCCCAAAACTGTTGTTAGACTCATCTTTGGACAAATCTATGGACTTTTTAAATAGCTGTGCATCTGACAAAACATCTGTTAAACACAATCGGAATTAATTCCTTCTGTGATTAACCTCAGGCAATTGTTTTCCACAAAACATTCATATTATTATCTTTATCCTGCATTTCTTTTCCTCAAACTACAATCACCCTGTCACAAAGATAATAGTGTATCTGAAAAATTTTGGTAAAAAAAAAACCACATAGTGAGCTTGACTTCCTGTTCTACTGCAATTTATGAGGATGAAGAGCAAGATATCAAAGAGAGAGCTTCTTTAACATGTTTCCTCAACCAGAAGTCCTGAAGTTCATGCCAAATATTCCCATCATTATACTTGCTTAACCATAATGCTCATGAAGCAATATTGAAAATGTACAGATTAGGGCAGGTGTCAGAATCCTGTCCATTTTCTTGCCTGAAGCTTAGAGGCAGGACTTTGATTTCAACAGCACCAGCTGGAAAAGAAACACAGATTATACTGTCCTGACAATTTTTTTTGTTCTGTCCTTCAATTTTTTCTTTTCCAACTGTCTGTATCTCTGCCTTGCCAATACTTGTCTGTTTTTCAGCAAAATAACTGAGTGAATCAAGGGCACACCATTTTTCAAAGCAGCCAGATGCAATCCATACATGGAGTGCCTCCCATTGCCATTTCTATAACATTCTTATTCCTAAAACTATCTGAGTCCTGGGAAGGAGGACTCATGGAAACAATGATTTTTGCACGTCCCCAAACTCTTGAAATGTGTCTGTCAATATGGCAACAAAATCTGACCACAGGGACCATCTGCAGCCTGTGTTACACTGGGCCTTCTAAAAGCAGTTTCTTTCATTTATCACAGATCTCTGAGCAATGAGGAACAGTTTCTTACTTTTGCTCATCATATGATGACTTACTTCATGAACTGCTTCACTGATTGTGATTACACAGAAAGCAATACTCAGCAAAATTGAAAATGAGACTATATGGCCTTATCAGAGCGGCACTTTTTTCATGTTTTTTTTTTTTTAATCAAAGAATGCCTTTCAAATAAGAGTTTTTGGTGTTGTGCACATTCTAAGGCTTAAGAAGTAAAATGTGAAAACTGCCACACAAAATCTGTATGTATTTATAAAAGCAGCATTAGAGGAATTGTATTTAAATCTTTGCATTTTCCTTAAGACATGGACTGTCACTTTCAATTACTCATTTTTTACTAAAAAAACATAAACTAAATGCTAACCACTCAGTTAAAAAACCAAACAAATTGAATTTAACCCTTCCTAAACAGCAAATAAAAGGTTCAGTCTGTAAAAATATCACCTAACTGTAATTAACTTACTTCTCCAAACACTTTAATTTCAAATTAAATATGGCCCCAAACCCTCCTTCCACAATTTTTTATCTCAGCCCAAGTGCTTTAGTTTTTCTTGTAGCTCCCCTTTTATCACTAGGGAGCTGCAGCTTGGTCTGGGTCCAGCCCCATCCAAGGCTCAACTGCAGTGACTTCAGGGGCTCTACCTCAATCATTAATTAATCACAGGAATTAATTGCAAGTTCCTGCCTCAAGGAATAGCATCATGCTGGACCTCAAGTGGAGCCAATTTCCACAGCTACAGCTGCAGAAGACTGGAAGGCATGTGGCAGACTGCTGGAGGCTGGCTGGATTTTAACCCATCTACCCATAGAGAGGCTCATTCTGCTTGTAGACTTTGTCAGTCTCCTCCTCACACTGCTGCTGACATGGCTCTATTCTTCAGTCAAGACAAGGGAATATGTAACATCCATACACTGGCTTATGCCTCACATCCTGGATGCTTTAAAATCTTACAAGGACTGGCATTTTAGGCTTTGAAGCTACTAGATGCACTAACAATGAATGAAAATTAGGCTTGTCTGTTTTTCACCACTGTCCCTGTGCCTTTATTGCCATCATGTGGCAGAAGCAGCAAGGTCTGAAAGGATATAGCTGAGAACAAACAGATTTAATCCAGCTTATTTATAGGCACTTCAAGAAAGTGTCAAATACTTCCTTTGTAGATATGCCCACATACATACAATATACATTCATCTAGAAACCACAGTCCCACAGTTTAAATACAATTTCCATCCACTCTAAAAGGCCAACTTAGCAATCAGTGGTTGAGTCTTTATCACCCAAGCCTTGGGGAAAATGATTAAACATAAACTGTCCCTGCTTTGACTGTCTCCTTTCTCCTCCCACCCCAGAGTGCTCATTGTAGAAACCAGCCTGCCAAAGGGAAGGTGGTTTCTAAGGGACACAGGATAATTATTCATAGTCACTGAATAGGAAAATGCTCTTTATTTGGTGTGGTGTAGCCAGCATCTCAAGTGAAGGGGGAGGATGCTGATTTTAATGGCTGCCATCAGATCTTTTGATGCTTTTCAGAATCAGGTGTTTTATCAGTAGCCTGAAGTGACCATTATGATTTACCTTACTCTAGTGCCTGGTAGCCTACGCATTGTCACGTTTTCTTGGACAGCTTATGTAAGAGAGATCTGAAAGAGAATAATGAGATGCAGCTGCACAAAGTGTTGCAGCTTGACAGAACAGACTAAGAGCCTACTCTAGTATCTTTCCTTACGGTCTTTTTTTTCCTTTAATATATACACATATGTGTACATCTCTCTCACCATGGCTTCTGTAATCCTAAAGCAGCAATGCCAGATTTTTCCACACAGAATGTCACTTCTCAGTCCATAATGTCATTCAGAATTGCTAGTCCTAATTAAAGAATTTCTGATCTTAAATAAATGCTTACAAAAAACTTCTATGCCTTAGCCTGTAGTTTACCACACAAAATAAAGTTGTAGAGCAATGAACACCATGTCTCTGCCTTATTCCTCCTCTAGGTCTGAAATAAAACCCCAGCAACTTTAGGCTTCTCCAATAAACAGCTTAACGTATCTGTTTCAGAAGGGAACTGACACCTAAGTGATATCCTGCTACTACTCAGCCCCAGACAGGTGGGCTGTCAGCAGAGAGGGGCACAGAGAGGTAACTTCCACACAGGACACTTCTCCCATTAGGCACTGGTTCTGCAAAAGCCACTGACAGACGGTGAGCAGAGACACAGTATTGGCTACAGCGCTACCACTTGCTTTAGTGTCTGGTTGAGAGGAAAAGAAAAAACGTACTCCTAACTTAAGTTACTATCTTCTACATCTCTTCATTGCTATACAGTCCTACCACATATCACTTGTAATCAGCTCAGTGCCCTGGACTCTTCTGTTTCAAAGCTGAAATACAACAGAAGTCATTAAGAACAGGGAGGATTTGAAATGTGCAAAGATGGAGATGGGCACTGTTGCCAACCACATTAGCTCAAAGGAAAACTACATTTAAAATCCATGTGCTGTTTATGTAAAAGAAACACTTACTTTTTGACATCCAGAGAGCCATTTTCCTTGTTTTCCATGTCAACAGTTAGCATGGGGAGGATAGAAGTTTTACTTCAGCAACTGATTGATAGGGAGGAAAAAAAAAAAGCTGTGTTTAATAACTGGTAGTAAGACCAGTGCAGTGTAACGTAACAGAAACAAGCATTCTACAGGGACACATGCATGTTTCCACTTGAGAGCAACAGTGCTGTCAAAGACTGATTTCCCTGGAAGCCTGGCAAAGCTGATAGTAGCTAATGAACTAGAAAAGAAAGTTGATCTGTGCTTCAAACACAAGAAATAATTCTTGCCTGAAAATCAAGGAAAGTAACACTACATTTAATCCTTTTCACAAGTGTTAAAATTTTGACCAAACTGTATGTATTCAAATACATGGAGATTGATGTGCAATATATGGCTGTGTATCAAGAGCTTGATGGATCTTCAGTCATCCTGTGATACAGAGGATCCAAACAGATGGAGGATATTTAGAAAGATTTGGAAATCCATAGCCTTGTTTTACAAATGTGGACTTGGATACAGATGAGCATGTCACTTATGCCCATTGTACAAATAAAGCTGGTAAGCAGAGTTACTAAATGAGCCCCAAACTCCTGAGGCCTAAATCATAAGACCTCCCTTCCTGCAGTAGAGCAGCTTCTTCTATAGGTATGCTACACTGAACTCCAAAAAGGAAAGGAGCACATGAAGGGCACAGGAGAAAATCCAGTTTGTTTCCTTCCTTGCAGCACGCTGGAGTACTTGCACCACACAGCTTTTTCCATCGCTCCACGGAACATGCAGAAATAACCCAAGCCTTTCCTTTCTGTCCTCAAGTAAGCCATTTCTACTTCAGAAAGCGCCAGAGAATGGACCAAGGACTCATGATGTTCTTGCTGTAGCATTAATGGATGCCAGTGAAATGTCTCAAAGCTCTGGGATACGGAATAGGGAAATCATGCTCTTCAGCTAAAACTTTGCAAAAATACAGAATAGCAATTAATAC